CCCCACATCCAAGATCGCCCGCCCTTTGTCTTTCTCAGTCTGACCAGTTCACCCAGCACAGGGCCCTCTGGGCCCATCTACGTTGTTGCAAAAGGCAGGCTTTCCCTTTTTAGGGCTGCATAATATTCCACTGTACATCCGCACCACTTCCTGCTCCATCATCTAGAAACAAAAGAAACAGCCCTGGAGGTGGGGGCGGGTCCGGCTGGAGTGGGTTCCATTCTGTCAGGGCGCAACCTGGGTTTCAGGGTCAATACCGTTCCCCGCATCAGGGAGCACAGGAGAGGCGACCAGTCATTCACGCATTCGTTAATTCTCCCTCCCTCTCCCTCTCTCTCTCTCTCTCTCTCTCTCTCTCAACCAGGGGACATATCCTTGGATGAGGATTAAAAAAAACCAGACTCATAAAAACAAAGACCAAAGGGATGGATACCAAAAGAGCGGGAGGAGATGGTAAAAAGGGACATTTTGTTGACAATACGGTTAAGGTCACAGGGTGACACCTGGTTGCTAGGATCAGTCAGGCGACCACAGTGTGAGGCGTGAGGATGTCGAATCAGCCCTGACCGCTGTGGCGTGGTTGGGCATTGTTCTGCCAGGTGAAGTCGCTGGTTCGATTCCTGGTCGGGGCACAGGCCTGGGTTGTAGGCTGGGGGTGCAGGAGAGGCAATTGATCAGTGTTTCTCTCCCTTTCTCTCTCCCTTACCGTCTCTCTAAAAACAAACATAAAATCTTTTTTTTAAATGTTGAGTCCCTATATTGCATACCTGGAACCAATACGACCAACACAAGCGAATCCGAACCAAAAATAAAATTCCCTGGAAAGCAGATTTAAGAGCACCTTCAGAAGTGAATTTCTTTCTAGAACTGTGCTTTTATTTCCGAGTTCCTAAGTCCAGACAGCAGGGCACTTGGTGACCCCGTGGCCAGCAGGCTGTCCGACCCCCCACCCTGCGTCACTGTCACTCATGGCTCCTTTCAGTTCCAACCACAGCTGAGACCAGACGTGCATCACAATGGAACCCCTCCTGAAGGAGCCCGGGGACGTGGGTCCCCAGGCTGGCCGGTGACCGCTGGGAGCTGCCCCATTCGGAGGAAGCAGCTGCGGCAGGCGCGTCACCCACGAGAGCGCCGCCCCCCACCCGCGTTTTAAATCACAGACCGGAGGAGGTGAGGACAGCTGCCACCAGCCCCCACAAGGCTTCCAGGGCGGGGCGGGCTCCACCCTCGCTCCCCTTGATTTCCCTTCCTCTGCCCCCTTGACATTTCTGCTTCAGTGTCTACAGCCACTGGCTGGATATGGAGGACAGTGGGGGTTACAGGGGTCACATTCTCTGACCCTACGAAGTGTCAGGAGCAAGAGACACCTTATGTTCCAGTGAAAAGACACAAGGAAATGGAGACACAACTGCCCTGTCTCACCGGGCCCTGGAGCGGCACCTGCAGAAACAGCGCCCCGTTGTCACCCAGGAGGGTGACGCCCCACAGGCCTCGGGAACAACAGGCCGGGTCCCAGGAAGCCCGGGGTGGGCTGCTTCCCGCTGCCCAGTGGTGGCGGAGGAGGGCCCTGTGTGCCAGGGGAGGCCAGACTTGCCACGTGCTGCCTGACACACTCACTAGGGGACCACCCAGGGCTCAGCGATTATGGGGTGACCGTAGCTGGAAGGTGGTAGAAATCGTAACAGTAGATTTCGCTTTTCTGAATTAGCCCAGGAATCCACAAATCACTGTTCATTCGGTGTCACTGAAGATGTGACCGTAGAAAGAGAAAAGTGTAAGTGTTCGGGGGACCCTTGTTTTACAGGGGGGCACTGTGTCCCTGTGGACCCTCACTCACAAGGCACCAAGCTGGTGGCCAACGGTGAGCTAGACAAACACCCACTGCCCCCGAGACCCAGTGCCTGCCTTCCACCAAGGGGCCGCGGAGGCGCTCTGGGCGCCCCCCCAAGCTCATTTTAGCCATATTGACTTGAACACAGTTAAACTAGTTCACTGGGTGTGCATGTCTGTGCACGAGTGTACAATGTGCATGGGTGTGTGCACACGTGTGCAGGCTGGGGTGAAAGCGGGTATCTGGAACACAACCCTGGTTTCTTTTGTGGAGGCGCCCTCTGGTGGCCACGGGAGAGATTACACTGTGAAACACAACCTGTTCACACGCCAGTCAGTCCTACGCCACTCAGTCCTCCATGCTGGTTTTGTGTCGACCTTAGGGGGGGTGTCTGTGTGTGTGTGTCTGTGTCTGTGTCTGTCTGTGTGTGTGTTCTTAAACAGCCCTGGATGGTGTGGCTCAGTGGATTGAACACTGGCATGTGAACCAAAGGGTCACAGGTTCAATTCCCAGTCAGGGTGCATGCCTGGGTTGCAGGCCAGGTCCCCAGTAGGGGGGGCACGAGAGGCAACCATACATTGATGTTTCTCTCCCACTCTTTCTCCCTCCCTTCCCCTCTCTCTAAAAATAAATAAATAAAATCTTTAAAAAGTTCCCTCTCGCTACAGAGCTGTAAGGAAGTTTTTCAGATATCACTCCGTTGCACATTTGAAAGTCGGACACTGAAGAATCCCAGCTAGAAGCCGAACAGCACAGCCCCCGGGCCGAGGGGGGCTGGCCTCCGGGGTACCCAGGAATCCACCTGGGCTCGCCGCACAGACGCCAGGCCGGGGTCCGGGCGACGGAGGCCCAGGTGCGGCAGGAAGTGGTGTCCCCGGGACAGACGGGAAGGTGACGAAGATGACAGGCACCCCACACGTGCTCCCTCTCCAGCAACGTGTCCACTGTGGGGCAAGCTGGGGGCCGTGCCAGCAACGTGCCCACTGCCACGCAGCCCAGTCCCGGGGTCCGGTGCGTCGGGGGGGGGGTGTGGGTGTGTGTGTGTGGGTGTGGGTGTGTGTGTTGACAGGCTCACACACGCCGACCGGGACCGGGCCCCAGCACAGGGGGGCAGGGGAGGCACGAGGGGCACCTCTCCCCGCCAGCCCCAAACCAGGGGGTCTGTGCAGACACTGCCGTTCTGCGGCCAAGAGCAACCAGGGCCGGGTGTGAGGGAGCAGGCGCCGGGCCGAGGCTCGGGGACGTACGCGACCCGTGCTCCACACTGTGGACAGACGGGGACAGCCAGGCTCAGGGCCCCACGCGCCCCCCCACCCAGACACAGACCCCACCCTCTGGCCCAGCACCTGGGCTGACGTGGTTGGGGGGGGGTGAAGGACACAGTGAAGGACAGTGTCCCAGGCCGCAGGGCCCAGCGCCTGAGGGACAGGCAGCACCTCTGAGGCGTGGGCAGCGGACTAGGGGACCCCACCCGGGGCCTCCCAGACCCCGGACCCCTGCAAGCCCAGCCCCGGGGGCCCCGAACTCGCCGGCCAGCTGCCACGCCAGGCATGAAATTTGCTGTCCTGGGAACGGGAAAACTCAGGGTGCCCGGCCACCCAGGGCCCCGCCTGTCACCGGGTGATCAGAGGCTCAGTCCTTTTCCTCCACAGAAGCCGAATTCTGTCTGCTCACTGAACAAGCCCAGTGGGCCAGGAGCACTCCGTGACCCCCAGGAGCAGGGTGGGGCCCCGGTCAGCTGCACCCACAGCGCAGGGGGTGGGGGCAGAGGTGGGGGTCCCGGCAGCTGGGTCTGGGCCTCCCTGGCGTCCCCACTGCCCAGGAACCGTGACACTGCCAGGAAGGTGCTGCCAGGCAGGTGCTGCCCGGGGCCCCTGACAACCGCTGTCACCTGGGAGGCCTCGGGAAGCACCTGGGGGTTCAGTCAAGTCCTGGCGACGCCCTCACCTTCACACGCATCTGAGAAGAAGCTGATCAGCTGGTCGCTCACTCGGTCGCTCGCTGGCTCACAGGCAGAGGCAGCAGCCGTACCGCCTCGAGTCCCCGGTGCGGCAGCAGCACCCGTGCCAGGAAGCCAAAGAGCCTTACTGGCTGCAGCACCCTGGGGCCCACACAGCACATGGGCTGGGCCCCGGGAACCACGAGGACTGGGACCTGCTGAGGGGACCGTGGGGTTAAAAATGGGACAGTGGGGCACCAGGGGAGTGTCCGCCGGGGGACCCTCTGTAGGGCCAGTGGCCAGGGGACCAGTGAGAGCTGGAGGGGGAAGGCCACGCATCTGAGCGAGGAGCACCCGGTGTGGGGCAGGGCACCTTCCGGTCTGCCCGCGCCCACCTCAGAGCTTTGATACCGGGGGCCCTGGTGGGGACTTGCTGGGTGGCTGAGACCCTGCATCCATCCCACTCCGCCCAGGCAGCTGGGCGACGGGACAGCCCCTCGGAGACAGGAGCAGAAACACAGCACCCGGGCCCCCGCCAGCTGAGAGGACAAGTGGGTGTGACCATCGAACACACGGGGGCCTGTCCCTGGCTCCTGCTGTCGGGGGTCCCGGGTTCAAGGGGATGCCAGCAGCTCAGGGGCTGTGGGTGCCATTTCCAGTGAAGCGTGAGCGGGTCAGATGAATGTCCCTGAGCGCGGGGCGGTGCCCAGCCTGCGCTGCTGAGTCCTCCCAGCGTGTGGAGGGGCAGCAGACCCCTCCCCCACCCCCTCCAGGCTGCCCCGGGGCCCCACCCCCTGCAAGCCAGGCAGGTGTGGTTCTGCCTGCTCCTCACCTGTGGGGCCGAGTGAGCCCCCTGCGCTGGGAGACACTCACGGCCCTGACACCCCCACCCAGACACGGCGCCTGTGCGGCCCACGGATGGCAAGGGGCATGTTCTGTGACGTGTCCTTCCCGCCCGCCCCAGGTGCCCGCAGAGGTGACAGGTGTCCTGTCCCCTCCTCACAGAGGTGGGAGCAGGCCTGCCCTCGCCCGTGCCCCCCCAGGCTGCAGGTTCACCCGTGTGTTCAGCCGCCTTCAGGACACGCCACTGCACAGCCTGCAACTCACAGTCCAGCCCTTCTGCCCGAACCACCACTTGACCTCTCGTGACCGAAACGACGCAGAACCACTGTCACTCGAAGGCCCACAGCAGTGCGCCTCCCGGCGCCCGAAATGATGGCACGAGAGCCGCACGGTGACACTCACGCTTTATTCACGGCAGCCGGTTCCCACACGAGCATCAGACCCCGGGCCGCATCCCGCGGGCACGCCCGCCCACCAAGCAGCCCCCGGACGTGGTCACACCCGCCGGGCGGCCGGCCTGGGCGCACAGGCTTCCCAGCCTCCAGACCGCGGGCTCGATTGCTGGCACTTCACACTGCGTCCACACCTTTCGCTGCCCCCCCTTCCACAAGGGTCAGGGAAAGGCGGGCGAGCGGCATCCGCGGGGCAACAGGGTCAGGGCCACACTCGGCAGCGAAGGCGAAGCAGCAGCACATGCAAAGCAGCCGCTGCCGAGGCCACGGAGTCGCCGGAGCGGGAGCCCGTGGCACAGGCGTGTGCATGCGAGTGTGCTCACTGACAGCGCAGCCCGGTCCCGGCAAGACCTCAACTCAGAGACACAGGGGCCCTCGAACGAATCCGGGGGAATCCTGCCACGTGCTGAACAGAACCCTCGTGGGCCCGGGACAGAAGGTGGGATGAGCGAAAACTGCGGCCCCGAGGCCCCCTGGACGGCGTGGAGGGGACCAGGCGGAAGCCATGACCCGAGGGGCGCCCGCCAGGCCCGCTGGGCTGCGAGGTGTGTCACCTGCGAGTCACCTACACATGCTACTTTCCGGTCACCAGAACCGCGCTGCCACAGGCAGGAGCGCCCCTGCGAGCGGACGAACAGACACCCGCAGCCTGTCTGAGCCTCGGCGTCACGCCACTAAAACTACAGCTACATCGGGAGTCGGCACCGTGGTGGCGTCGACAGGGAGGACAGGGGAGCGCCACAACCACGCGGCAGGGAGCTGTCTCGGCGCCAGGGAGCGAGGCCCCCACCGCCTCGTGCTCGTCATGCCCACAGCGGCCACCGCCAATCGCCGTCCCTCCAAAGCCCAGTGCCGGGGCAGGTGTGTCTGGGGCCGGCGCGGCGACACCCTACCTAGCGCGCACACCGCCCGGCGCAGCGGCGCGGCCCCGCGCTCAGTGCTGGCCCTTGGTCGACTTCTTCTTCTTGGACTCGTCCTTGTGCTTCTGCTTCTTCCTCTTGCCGCCTTCCTTGAGTCCTACGGAGACACGGCTCGTGAGACACTGCGCAGAGGGGCGGCGGGTCCCCACCCAGTGTCCTGGCCGCCCCCGCGCCAACAACGCACGCGACCCGGGACGGGGGACAGGCACACTTCTCCCCACGCGCGGTCCACACGCGGGCTCCTGTGACTCAAACCGTGTGTGAGGGTCTGCAGGGCACCCACCCACCGCCTTGCACGACCCCTGTTCCCACCCGGCAGGGGCACACCCCGTCCCCTGGTACTGCCAGGTCTGCGGGGCAGGACCCACCCCCTCCACCCAGGCGGGCAGTCAGCCTGCGCCGCGGAGGCCGCAGGATGCACAGGGCACGCCCGCTCTTCCTCGCAGCTCCTGCCGCAGCTGTGCGGAGTCGGTGTAGCCCATGAGGAGGGGCGGGGGCTCCTGGGCTGGGACACAGGTGGGGGTGGGTGGAGGTAAGAAGAGCTCAGTTTAAAGGTCTGACTGGGACAGACCTGAGAACGGAACGGGGCCAGGACCACTGCAGCCCCCAGCCTGCTTACCGGTCTCCTGAAAGCACCCTTGAGATTTTAAGGTACCAGGTGGTATCTCACAGCGTCACCTCCAGTCCTGACCCTCCCCGGGCCACGCAAGGGACTCAGCTCACTGAATCACCATCGCATGGGTCCCCACAGCACAACCACCTGACGCAGGCCCCACGCCTGGTAATACCCGATGTCCACCTGCCACCAGGTGGGAGCCCTCAGGTCTCCCCTGCACCAGTCTCGCCCCGCCCACCAGCCCTCCGCCAGCACCCCAGATGTCCGGCCATGCTGACCCCCCTCCCCGGGGCCGAGCCCCCGCTGCCACCCCACAGCAGGGCGCCCCACCTGCCCGAGGCTGTGCCATCATCCGGCCACACGCTCAGGAAGTCTGCTCTCCGTTTGAGTTGGGGGGGAGCAGAGGGCGGCGCCCGGCTGAGGCCACCGCACCGGCCAGGGAGAGTGGGACATTCCCAACGCCAGCCCCGCGGTGACACCAGGGGACCTGGGGCCGGGACAGAGGAAGATGACACCCTCCCGGGTCACAGACACAGGCCCAGACTGTCCAGGAACGTGCTTTGTGTCCGACAGCAGTTGAGATCACGGGCAACAGGAGGTGATACCACATGGGCCACGGCTGGGCCCCCCTGGGTCCTTTTCCATCGAGATAACCTGGCCCCAGTCCGGATGCCATGAGAAGGGCAGGGGAGGAAAGTCAGGCTCCCCAGGGGTGGGCCCAGCGAACACAGAGATGAAGAGATGGCGTCCCCCTCCCACTCTTACTGAACAGGCTTCCCTGCCTGATGCTGAGAGCATCGGAAACAGCCACGGCTGGCGTGGCTCAGTGCGCAGAGGGCCAGCCTGCAGACCAAAGGGTCGCCGGTTCCACTCCCAGTCAGGGCACAGGCCTGGGTTGTGGGCCAGGTCCCCACTAGGGGGCGCTCGAGAGGCAGCCACACATCGGTGCTCCCCTCTCTCTAAAAACAAAACACAGGAAAATGGCCTCATACAGACTGAAGACCTTAGTGACAGGACAGAAGGCTGCAACGCCCCAGGGCGGCTGCACACCTCCCCCGCAGGTAACCGCCCCCAGACCGGCGGCTCAGGGAGCCAGGTGGCAACCAGTACAGAGCCCACTCTCGGGTTGGGGAGGGTCCTTCAAAATCATGCAGGACAAACGTCTAATGAAAACTGTCCCCACGACTCTGGCAGCCTGGCCCTCGACTGCCTTCCTGTCACGTCTCACCTGGTGCTGGGAGGAGGGCCAGCACCTGGGTGGCGCTGAACCGCCACGAGCTCTACAGTGACCGACAGACGGATTCCGGTCCAAGGGTCTACAGCCCCTCCCAAAGCCCGTCCAGCCACCCCCCGGCATAACCTGAACTCCCTGAAACGCCACACCTCCATCCCTCGGGACTGTGCCTGCGGTGCCCAGGGCCCCTCGCCCAAGCGGCCCCTCACAGAAGCCAACTCTGCGCACGGCAGCTGCAGGCTCTCAGCGGGAAGTGCAGCCCAGCCTCGCAGACGGGTTAGTCCCTGCCCCTCAGCAGCACAGCGCAGCCCGGCGTCAGTCCCCAACCAGGGGCGCGGCAGGGAGGTGCCACCAACCCCGGGAAGGAGGGCTCCAGTGGACACCACAGCTCACTCCCAAGTTCGAGTCGTTCTGTGCGGGATGGGCTCCGACTTCCCTCCCAGCACAGCACCCACGCCCGCAGGAAGCTCCGACCCCTCTCAGTGTTTGACTTGTTGGCTGCTGGGGCTGGACACGCAGACCTGCCTCCCACATCAGAAATAAAGCAGGAGGGCTCTGGCCGCCGAGGCTCCGTGGGGCGCTCGACGTCCCGCAAAGAGCAAAAGGTCACTGGTGGATTCCCGGTCAGGGCAGAGGCCTGGGGACCTGGGCCAGTCCCCGGGTGGGGCTCAGGCCAGAGGCAACCAACGCACCTCTCTCTCTCCCTTCCTTCCCCTCGCTCTACAAGTAAGGAAAATCTTAAAAGAAAGCAAGCAGAATTTTACGGGGTTAGAATTTAAGGCAACAGCAGCTTAAGAAACCAAATGCCAGCAACCGATGCCCGCGTCCCTCTCACCGGCCACCCGCACAGACCGCCCAGGCCCTGCCGCCGCGCCCGTGCTCACAGGGGTCACCAGCGGGAAACTGCTCACAGCAGCGGTGCGTCCGGACTCCCCGAGCACTGAGCTTTCGCCTCAGGTCCTCACTCCCATTACTGTCCAGCTCTCCGGGCACCTGGCGCACCTGCGTCCAGTGAACGGTCACGCCACAGAAGCACGATGCCTGACGTCTTGGTAACAAGTGCCTCACATGTGCTGCTCTTTAAGGGGAGCTGGAACCTGGCACACCTGCGTCCAGTGGCCGGTCACGCCATAGAAGCACGATGCCTGACGTCTTGGTAACAAGTGCCTTACATGTGCTGCTCTTTAAGGGAAATTAACCAAGACATGGCATCACCTGCGCCTGCAGGTGGGCGAGCAGGCCACGCCAGGCCCTGCGGAGCGGGGCGCGGCTGCAGAGGGCCACCCGGAGATTGGGTGTCCTCGCCCGGCAGACAGGAACAGCTCACAACCCAACTGTCTCTTCCTCCCTGTTCTTGCTTCACTGCCTCCGTTTTTCGAATCTTCCTTCAGGGCAGAACTGTCGTCTCCGACACAAGCACACTGAAGGGCAACCTCGCCTCGCAGTCCCTGGTGACTTCATGCTGACGACGAGAGAAGTGTGTTTTCTCGCCAACTCCCACGGAGTTTTGAAAACGCTCCGGACGGTGCTCCAGGGTCCTGGGGTGCGGGGCAGGCCGCGACCCCTGGCCATGGGCAAGGACTGGGACAACGTGGCCTGCCCTGTGAGAGCCCACACCGAATTCATAACACTCGGTCACAGGACCCAGAAGGGACCCCGTGGTGGAAATCGACAAAGACAGGCCATTTTCTTGAGGACTCACTTCCGGCTTTTTCACCTTCTCAGGAGGGGACGAGCGTCCCTCACTCAACAGGCACCGTCGGGAGCGGCAGCCTCAAGCCGGCCTCAGCACACGGCTCCGGGCCGGCAGGCGGTGCCGTCTGCCCCGAGGCTGCCGAGTCCGGCTGAGCTGCCGCGGGGCCGGCCGGGATGGCACCCCTCACGCCTGGAGCTGGGCCACTCTTACGCAGCTGGCGAAACCCCGTCCAGCCTGTTCGGGGAAACTGGGCCCCGCCCAGCCTGCCTGGCCTGCTCGGCTCCAGAAGGGACAGCAGGTGCAGGGTGGCCAGGTCCTTCCTGAGCCACACGCCTGGCGGCTGCCAGCTCTCCACCCCACCTCACAGAAAAGGCTTGTGTCCCCAGTGGCCCGGCCGTGGCCGAAGCCCCAGGACACCCCCTGTGGGTAGACGACGTGTCTCCTGTCCCAACAGGTGCCTGTCCTGTATCTGACGGGACCAGAGGGGCTTCACACGACTGGTTTCCGACAGAGTGTTCTGGGAGGTGAACTCAGTTCTCAGGCAGCCCTCGGTCCACAGTGGACCTCATGACACCACTGGACCCGGAGGACTGAGGGTCACGCTTTCCTGTCAACACACGGCCTGCGACGCGGAACTCAGAGACCCCTCAGTGGTCAAAACCACAAGCACAGCCACACCCTCAGGGACCATCCAGAACCTCCCATGGGGAACCGACTCAGACCTGCCTGGGCCCTGCTGTGCACGGCCGGTCTGGACCCCGACCAGGGCAGCGCCGGCAGTGGAGGCCAGGAAGGCCGCCGGGCCTCGGGGAGAAGGCGGGCTCAGCACCCATCTCACCGACAGAGGGACACACCCCAGACAGCTGTCCTGTCTCACCTCTCACCGAGCTCGAGTGCAGGCAGGAAGGGCAGAAAAAGCAGCACAGCCCGCTCTGGCTGGTGCAGCTCAGGTTCAATTCCCAGTCAGGGCACACACCTGGGTTACGGACCCGGCACCCAGGAGGGGGCGTGCAACAGGCAACCACTCATTGACATTTCTCCCTCTCTCTCCCTCCTGTCTAAAAATGGATAAATAAAATCTTTAAAAAAGAAGAAAATGCAAGACCCCTCAGCCCTGAGGTCACCTGGAGCTTGCTGGGAGAAGCCCCCCCATGGTCCAGGAGACCTCAAGCACCGAGCAGAACCTACCAGGGGGGCATTTAAGCTGAAGGCAGCACCTGTGGTCTGTGCCCAAGACAACACACTTCATACCGTCACAGAAGGCTGGCACCCCGGTTTAATCACGGGGGACCTCCCAGCAGGGCCCCCCGCCCCACACGGCCAGCCGCCCGGCCCCGGCGCCCGCCCTCAGGTCAGGACGCAGCAGCACAGCAGCGGTCTCTGCCCTCGCGGGCCGGGGGCGGCCAGCGGTGCTTCCGTCTGCACACCTGCCAGCACGGAGGGGTCCCAGTGGCTGCTGGGCCGGTGGCGGCCGGGGTCCTCCTCCTCCTCGCTGACGTGGGGAGGGGACGCGTGCTTGGGCAGCGGGGCGGGCTTGTGGGCTTTCAGCGGGCGGGCACTGGTGCTGGCGGGCTGTGCGGGAAGCGCATGCTGGCCCCTGAGCCGGCATGCTTCCAGGAAGGCTGCTTCATTGGCCACACCTGCAAGGACAGACGGAGACAGCTGTGAGTGCCCCGCCTGGCCGGCGCCACGCTCGACCCGGAGCCAGCAGAGGTCACTGGCACTGTGGGTCTTAACGCCCCCCAGCCCGGCGGGGACGGCAGCATGGGAAAACCCTCCCCCGACCCCGAGGGCACGTGGCTGACGTGTGTGCCACCTGGTGAAGCCCATGGAGGCTGAAGCCCTGGTGACCAGGTTGCCGTCAGCATCAACTCCGCGGTCCACCCTGGACGAGGCTGCGGTCCACCTCTGGCCTTGTCCCCGGGCAGCACTGCCCGTCTACCCAACGCTCGATGAGCGTGGGGGCAGAGGTGCAGCCCATGCGTTCACAGGCCCAGAACCCAGACACCGGGGTCTCGTGGAAACCAGGGGTCGGGCGCATTTGGGGGACCCCAGGAAGCTTGCAAGGGCACAAAGGGTCGTTTTCACTGGTTTCCGAGTCCTCCTCTTCAGGGTGGGTGACAAAATCACACTGCCCCCCAAGTGTGGACGGAGGCAGGGAGGCCACCACAAGCGGCCCCCACACTGGCTGCCCTGTATCCCCCACACCCACCAGCCAGGAACTGTTTGCCAGGGACACTCCCACAAGGAGACATTGGGACCTGGGCCCTGGGGATGTTCCCCATCAGAACTGCTTCCACACCACACGTCTGGAGGGGCAGGGAAGGGCGTGGGGCTCCCGCCCTTAACTTCTACCTCTTCCTCCTCCTCCTCCTCCTCCTCCTCAAGCTTGTTACTATCCGGCAGGAAGCTGTGAACACCCCAGGGGCCCAGGGCCCAAGGCCCCTTCTGGAGAAGGGAGATTTCAGGTGTCCCCCCCGTCCAGAGGTTTGTGCCGCTAAGTGTCCAGCTCTAGTTCAGAAAACCTGGGACCCCCATGGCCCGGGTCCCTGCACCTTGGGCCAGCTAAGCAGGAGCCGCACCCCCACCCCAGGCTCAGCCCTGCAGCAGCCGCACCCCCACCCCGTGGGGGAGGAAACAAACACTGGGGGTGGGGGGCTGTTCCACCACGTGGTCTGGAAGCTGGGACCCCAGGCTGACCCAGTGTCAAGGCCCACGACTAACACGCGTTCTGCGCACCCCAGCCACCCTGTCTGCCGGTTCCTCAGGACCAGGTCTGACTGCGGTGCTGAGTGTGACGGACCTCGGAGCAGGGCCACCCTGGCCCTCGTCTCAGACAAGGCTGCTGCGTAACCAGCCTCCTGCCCCAGTGTCACGTCTGTGGAGCCAGGACTCAGCCACTGCCAGGGGCATGCGCTTCCGGGCAGATAAACCGGAAATGGGTGTCCCAAATGCTTGAGTGGTGTGACGAGATGACACCCCACGGGCCCCTGCACCGACTGCGGCCTGCACACTGGGTGCAGGGGACTCCTCATGGCCACGGTCAAAGTGGAGAGGGACTGAGAGGGACTGGGAGGGACGTGGGGCCCACGCCAGTGCTTGGGGCCGTCGCTGCGGCACCCGGGTGGGCACACTCCGGGAGGAGCTCACACTACCCCTAACCCAGGTCCCCTGTGCAGCCCGCCACCCTGTGGGCCCCTGGGGTGAAGCCCTGAAAGCAAGTCGCCCGCTCCCAGCATCCGGTCGGTCCCCACTCTGCACACCCCACGTCCAACGCCCGAGGGCGCCGCTGAGCCCAGTGCGCTGCTGCCCCGCTCGTGCCGACTCAGGGGAGTATCTGGGTCCGAGCTCGGCACTGAGCAGCGGCGGCGGCGACACAGTGTGGGGGGTGTCCGTGCACAGCCACCTGCTCACTTACCTCAGCCCTCAGGTGGTCTCAGGAGCCAGGAGACCCTGCGGCCCTCCAGCCACGAAGGGCCACCGTCCCTGAGAGCTCGAGTCCTGCCCAGGAGCACTGGGAACGCGGTGCAGGCCAGGTGACAGCAGTGCCCCCAGGGCCCAGCACCCAGGTGGGGGGTGCCCCGCAGGACAACGTGCAGGCTCCGTGGTGCTGCCTGGGCGCTGCCGTCCGCTGTCCGGAGGAGCCGCGCCCTGGGAGCCTGGGGGCCGGCTGTGCCATCACCGGTCCCTTCACTCAGCCACCGGCCTGCTGCCCAGGGTCCTGCTCCCACGGCCTCTGCCGCCCAGTGAGGAAGCAGCCCCAGAAGCCCAGCCCGGGGTGGGCACCCAAAAGCCAGACAGACCGTCTCCACGTGCCTGCCCCAGGAGGGACGGCCACCAGGGCGCTCCCCCCCGGAGAGGCCTGGGCACCCACGGCGCTGACAGCGAGGGCCGGGGTGCAAGGGGCCCTCCCCGAGTGGCCCGCACTCTCACACAATGGAGGGACCACAGCGCCCCTCACCGCTGCTCCCGGGCACCCGACCCCAGGCCCTTCTTTCTCCATCCAGCCCTGCTGTGCGCTCTCCGCTGGGGTGGGGCTCACCGCCCAGCGCCCCTGCCCTGCGTGTCCCTGAACTACCTGCACGCCCTCCCACACGGCAAGCCCCAGGGGCCCTGGTCTGGAGCAGGGTCCATCAGCAGGGCTCTCCGCAGAGCTCTGGTGTCTCAGTACCAGCAAGAACCGCGCGGGGGAGGAAGTGGCGGAATCACGTCTGTCCCTGACCCCAAGCCCTGCTGGACGCTGCACGGGGCCAAGCGGACCCACGCAGCGGCCTCCACCCACCGTGGGTTCACACGACAGGTGGCTGCCACCCCCAGGGTGACACTGAGGTGTAAGTGACACCCACTGAGGTGGGAGAAAGGGGCCTTAAGAAGGACAACCCTGACAGTGGTGCCATGGCCCCGACTGGGCCCTAAGCGGGGACAGACCACCCCACAGCTCCCAAGCGGAAGTGAGGGGCCTGCAGGGACAGGGTCACTGTGTCTCACCCGCAGCGCCTGGGTCACACCGAGGTGCCGGTCTTTCGACCCCGCTCACAGCCTGGCACGGAGGTGTGTGAAGGCCCCAGGGACACCCCCACCACAGCCCACAGACCCCTCAGGCCTCGTCAAGAACTGGGGCTGCCAGACCTGCCCCCCAGGGTGCTGGGAGGAGGCTCTGCACCAGGCCCTCCCAGTTTTGGGGGACGAGCCGCACGTCAGAGCGCACACGGCACAGACGCACAAGGGCTGTGGGGGCCACAGGTGAACCCCCGAGATGCTCCAGGGCAGAGGTCCGTCCAGGTCTGGGTAAGGAGCACTGGGAACCCCAGCCAGCGCCCTGGAATGAACGCCCCTGGCAAGAGGTCCCCTCAGTCCTGTGGGAGCGGGCCCTACAGACTGACTGACTGGGACGCCAGGCCCTGGAGGGGCATGGCTCGCCTCCAGGTCCCCAGCGGAGCCCTCGCCCCTCCAACCTTCACCTTCCAGGCTGTGCAATGGGAACAAGGCCCAGTCACCACATTTAATGGGAGGAAGTCCCCAAGAGCACTCTGGGAGGACGGAGGGCGCCCTCACAGGTAAGGGGCTACGACCCCAGACACAGCCTGGAGGAGCCAGACAGAGCACCGGCCTGCACCCCACTCCCAGAAGGTTCTCTACACCCCCACACCAAGTGCTCCTGGGCGCACCCAGGGCGGGCCCAGGCCTCTCCAGCAGTTCCTTCCCCTTGAGAACCCCCCCAAAGGAAGAGAGAGAAGAGGCCCCATCTATCAGAACCCTGTTAACATCGCGAAGCCTGTCCAGGAAGGACAGGAGCACCTCGGGGTCCCTGTGACCACAGGAACCCCAAAATGCCTGTCATCAGCGCAACCCATCCCAGCGATCTGGCAGAAACCCCTGCACAACCACACCAGCATGGCCACACCACCACAAAACCACAACCACACAACCACATCTGCCCCGGCCTCACCCGGCCCCACACCAGCAACTTCACTGCCCAAGGACACCAAGAAACCAAGACTCGCAACCCACACGGCACCTCTGGGAACGGTGGAAACTCCAGGGGTCAACACAGGCGACGGCGCGCCCTCTGGGAGAGGCCCTGGCACCACACAGAGGCCACAGGCGCTGGGAAGTCAGTCACGCGGACCCTGCGCCCGCACAGGAGCCAGTGTTTCGGCGTAACTTCTGCCGGCCTTTCCCTCTGCGTGAACACGGTGGTGCGTGGAAACTCTCCACAAAACACCACGTGCCGGGGCCTGGCCGGGCCACGTCACCAAGAAGCCATGAGAGGAATGTTCCGGCAGCTGTCACAGTGCTCAGCTGTCGCAGCCACGGTCGGTGCTTTCCCCAGATGGAGCCTGCTCGGCAACACGCAAATGCAGACGCACCGTGCAGACGTGAACACTTTCCCCAGACGTGCGCAAGCCTCGTTCCGGCTGGTCCTCGGTTCTGCCAGTGGGAGCACAGTCGACCCCCCACTCACTCAGGCCCTGAATGCCGCCCCAACTGCATCACGCCCGGTGGGCATGGGGACCCCCACGTGGACGTCCTCCTGCTCTCATGGAGCCCAGTGACAGGAGGCCAGGGCCCCGGCCAAGGGCCCTGCCAACACAGAAGACGCAGAGGACAGGTGCGCAGGTGTGGGGAGACTAGCGAGTGGCTGCCGGGGTGGTAGAGGGGGCAGTGCTGCTTGGATGGGGACGGGGCGGACGTGAGGGGAGACGGAGTGACCGTCACAGGAGCGACTCCACTCCCGTGACCAGATTGTGGGCAAAGGACCAGAGCTGAGGGCAGATGCCACCCTGGCCACCACTGCCAGCCACCACTGCTGGCAGACACAGGCCCAGTTCTCGCCCCAGTTCAACTGGAGAGGCTCAGCGGATGGAGCACGGCCAGAGAACCGAAAAGGTCGCCAGTTCAATTCCCATAAAGGGCACAGGCCTGGGTTGCAGGCCGGGTCCCCAGTAGGGGGCGCACAAGAGGCAACCAATCTGTGTTTCTCTCCTTCTCCCTCCCTTCCTCTCTGAAAATAAATCAAACTTAGAAAAAAGGGACCACTTGTCAAAACAAAGAAAGGTCATGATGAGAAGTCCACCAGGGGAGGCCCCGGGACCCAGACCCACAGCCACGAGCTGTGTGTGAGGCGCGGCTCGCTCACGACAGGTGGAGGGCGCACACCCAGCACCCAGACCGAAGTTCGCCCAGCGGGACGAACGTTCTGGTCTCCATGGGGTCACACATTCACAAAACCTCCTTCTGCACACACAGCTGCGCCCACATAAAAATTCTCCGGCAGGTGCCTCTACAGTTTCTTCTCCGAGCTCTCCAGACTTTGAAACACAAACATGCTAAATGTCAACTTCTTACAAACCACTTGAAACCAAGCGAGATGTGCCAAAGAACTCTTGCTCTTACTGTTGTCTGACCGGCAGGGACCCTCCCTGGGTGACCAGCAGGACCGCCGCCACGCACCCCACGCCACCACCGCTGTCCACCAGGGGCCCAGCGCCACATAACCACAGAGGGACGACTCCCCCCAAGGGCAGTCCTGGGGGATTCTCTTCACAACCAGAGTTGAGTAACAGCAGTGAATGCCCTTGCAGGGGCGTCCAACCCGCAGCCCAGGACGGCGGTGGGTGTAGTCGTACGTTCACTTAAAATACTGAGTTTTTTTTTATGATTATATGTCACGATGCATTCAATGTGCGGCCTCAGAGATGCCAAAATTTTGGCTGGATACCCCTGGAGAGGTTTTCACTGGACCCTGGTGTTGTACCCCGGCCCCCACAAGGCTGCTCAGAAGCCAGTGTTCCGAGGGCATCCCCAGAGCCACCTGCAGGTCAGGTCGCACCTCCTGGTGAGGAGCGAGTGCATCCTGGAGGGACCTCTCCCCCGGCGAGTCGCCGAGGGAGACCCTGTATGCCAATTACTGAGACTTCAGCTCCGTTTCAGGGGGCCCCGGACTAAACAACCAACCGAATGGGAGACTAAAACTTCGATTCCACACCTCACTCAAACACTCCAACTGGATTAAAACTGGACGCAGCAGGAGCAGATTCCTAACCGAGGAAGCAAACCCAGCAGAGCGCAGGTGCACCAGGCTGAAGTCCCAAACCACAGGTCCCCACGGCCACGTGTGAGATGAAAACGGGCAACTGACTTCGAGGTCAACAGAGATGAAAACCGTTCATCCCTAAGTCAAACTAAGTTTCTTAAATGTGCATCTACCACAAGGATGCACGTGAATACTCTGCAGAAGCGCAATTAACAGACACGAAGAAAAGCGCTGAGACTAAGCGGATACCAGATGGCGAAGAGGCCTGAGACACGGAAGTGCGTGTGGGGAAGGGACCGTGCGCCCTGGCAAGTGCTCGGAGCACCTCCAACAGGGAACGCACGCGGGGGGCCTCAGGCGGCCGACCAGACCCTCAAGAATCCCACAGGGGCACCGTTCCGCGGGAACCACCCGTACCAAACTGAGGACAGAGAGGCCGCCCACAGAACCCACCAGGCAAGGCAGCTTTCCCAGCCAGCAGCACCAAAATGCCGAGACAAGACGGCCTGGGTACCGGAAAGTGTGTGAGAGGAGCAAGCTGACCCTCCTCACCCAACACCCGCACCTCCCCCCGGAGAGTCCAGCACTGCCCAGGGGGTCCTCTCTCTGCACAAAGAACAGAGGGCAAGGCCACAGCCGAAACCGCTCTCGGCTCCTGGGGAGCCGACCAGCCCTGCCCACCATCACCCTGTGTAATGTGCACCGACATCTATGGCCCAAACTTCCAGGGGGAAAAAAACTTTCCTTTAAAAATTTTAATTTGTTTCATTTGTATCTAGAAACAAAACTGAGTATCCTATTCCAGGGATATTATTTTGCATGCAGACATCATTCTTGTTTTCTAGAGTTACACTCAACACAGAAGCAGAAATTAAACATCCACACTTGGAATTAGTACTACCTACCCACGTGTAACGTGCGCCCTCACTTCTACCTCAAAAACTGGGACAAAACAGTGCCCATTATCCACGGCAAAGTACGGTGGGTAGTGGGTGCCTCTTTCACGGTGACATCAGCCTGACTAGCTGTTCACAGCAGGAGTCGCGCCCAGCACGACCCCCGAAGGCCCACAAAGGGGCCCCAAAGTGGCCGGAACAGGCTTCCTGGGGCAGGCAGGTCTGGCCTGCCTCTCCCTGAGTGGGTTCCCAGGGGCCGTCCCATCCTCCCTCCTACTCGGGGCTCATCTTGCCCTCGCATGGAAAATGTAAAACTCTAAGGAGGTCCAGGTACTTGCTTCCAGCTTCCCACCTGGCAGAGAAGCTTCATCCTACTCACGGCATGAACGACAGGCAGGCTCTCTGGCGGTTAAAGCAGAGTTTGTCAAACTGGGCGCTCCCAGCACTTTCCCAAGGCCCAGGCGCTCGGGGCTGGCCCAAGTGTGTATGTGTCTGTCTTTCCTTTGCCAAGTTCAGCTGCCTCTGAATGCTTAAATTTCCTGAAGCCTCACCTGCACGGCTTCTGAGACCCTGCAAGGTGTCCACCTGCTCTCAGCAGTACCCGAGTTCCGCACGGCTGAGACCACGCAGAATGACATTCCCACGTGCTCCCCCTCGTGGCCTGCCCAGGCCACAGAAGCCCCCCCGCCCCGTACCCGTGTCTGAACAGCTCTCACCCCGCTATCTCCGCAACAAAACTGAGCGGGGCAGCTCCCTTCATGCTCCCCAAGGGGCTGGCACCCACGTTCTCAGGGGACCAGGACGGAGTTTACAGACGGGAAAACACAGGCAGTGCCCTGCATTCTGCCACAGCGACCATTCCGTGACGTGACCGTGCACGCTGAGAGGGCCCTGACGGAGCCCGGAAGGCAGGACAGAAACAGCACCGCATCTTCTCTGCAGTGATCCGTGCCGCGAAGCGCCCCCCGGACTGAGCACACACGGGGCATCTTCGCACACTCTGCACACACCCTGTGGGCAGTCGGGAAGCGAGAGAGGCCCAGACAGAGAACCACACAGACACAGGGGCTGCAGGCCCCGCTAGGAAAGAATGCACCAAACACATCGCGTTTATTTTTTTTAAGCAAGTGACAAAGACCCAATTCACCAGCTTTACTTTTTACACCTACACTTAACTTTACATATTTAAAACAATGGTCAAAACGTACTAAGTAGCCAGCATTCATGCACAACTAGAAACATCCTCCATTTACAGTGAACCAGAAATGTGTCACCACCGACGCAGTCGCGTCTCGCACTACGACACACGGGAAGCACCGAGATCGCTCGCCTGGAGGGTCCGTCCTGGCCAGGTCGGCTTCCCGGCGGGCTGCCGCCTCGCGGCTCCCACACCGCGTAGAAGCACGCCTGTGCTGGTGTTAGTGCACGGGGTCGCGGCCACCTCGGGTCACGTGTGATAAAAAAGCAAAGTGCATACAGAGATTTACAACAATTTCAAAGACAAAAATGTCCTATCACGTGGTCCCAACAAGAAACTCAAGAGTCTATGACAAGGGGCTCCGGTGAGCTGCGTATAAATACTTTAGGTTAGGTCAGTGACACAGAGTCGAGTTCGTGGGGGTCTTCAAACCAACGCTCCTGTTAATCCGCAAACGGTGCTTGTTACAGCTAACATGTCTGCTACATGCGTGCGTTGAGTTACTTGTTATCCAAGCGTAGCCGCTGCTCCTTACCATTTATCGTTAAGGACTTGAGCTGGCCGTCTTCTTCAACTTCCACTCTCTCTTCACCGTTCTCGATGATTCTGCAGGACGAAATGCACTTTTACAAACTTTAAGGGAGATGTATACGTATCACACCTGAAGTAGTACAACTGTCACAGACACACAGGGAACCACCGATCCGGATGCCGAAGAGCACCGCAGACGCCGACCTGCGCGCCATCTCTGGAAGCAAGCAGACTCGCTCACAGACGCAGTCTGCTCCCCACCCCACGGAGCCCCGGGCGCCAGCCACAGTGGCAGAGGTCGCACCGCCAACGGCACTGACCGCCCATCAGCCCAACAGAGCTGCCCAAACTTACCACACGACCGCACGTGCAGAACGGCTCTGAATGAAGATTACGAACACGAAACGTTAAACTACATCTATGCCCTAGCTGGTGTGGCTCAGTGGACTGAGCACCGGCCGGCCTGCGAACCAAAGGGTCGCCACTTCGATTCCCAGTCAGGGAACATGCCAGGGCAGTGAGTGGGTCAGGTCCCCGGTGGGGGGTGCATAAGAAGTAACCAATCAACGTGTCTCTCCCTCTCTTCCCCTCAAAAGAACAATAAATACAGTATTTTTTTAAAAAACAAAGACCCTCAGGTACCAGATGAACCTCAACCCACAGGCCACACGCTGGGGGAGGGAAGGAAACAGGCCACCAATCATCACACACACTCATCACAGCACAGCAGGTGGGAGAGACTGTACCTCTTCGTAGTGATTTTCCTGCCGTTGACCATTTTGGTGGAAGTGGACACGGATTTGAAGCTGCCCATCCCACCACCACCGAACGTTGTGGAAGAGAATGAAGTGAGGCCCCCGTGACTTAGTGACCCGAAGGACGAAAATCCTACAGGAAATGAAAGGAAAAAGATTAGAGGCAAGCACATCAGGCAATGAGTGCAAAAACGCCCAAGTGTCAGAACCTCGCAAGCAGGACTCTCACACAGGCACGGTGTTGGCTGGGACAGCGACACCCGGGCTGCAGGGGTGGGGGGTGGGGTGGGGGGTGTCCTCCCAGTCCAGGGGCAGGAGCACCACTGGCCCCTGCTTCCAGTCACCGCCCCCCGCACCTACACCCCGTGGGCTCCCCCCATCTGCAGGGTCCCCTGGGTACCCAGCCGCGTGGAGGGACTGGGAGGGCCCGGCGCCTGCGTCTTCCAGGAGCAGCACCCCCGCTCAGCCCTCCCCTGGCAACGGGGCCATGGGGACAATCTGGCTGGATAAAAAGCTAAAGTGACCTTAAGATGAAGGGACTGTGGTTCTTAAACGCGCCCTCAATTCCATGGCGGCCACAGTGGGGACATGAACCCCGGAAGTGCAGGAGCCCCCTGGCAGCAAAGCGTATTCGGACAGGAGGCTGGTCCCCTCACTCCTGCAAACCCAGGGCCCCACACGGTCCCGGCCACCCGGACTCCAGGGCGGTCTGAACCCACTGAAGGCCAGCAGGACGGTCGAACTGTCGCTGAGTTTCCAATGGCCCCATTAAAAAATTTTAAGAACTGGTAAACTTGATTAACGCTCTTTAATCCAGAACACACAAAATATTACCACACAGGCCAGAGGAAACCTGAACTGCGGTGGCCACCTCTCACTCCATCTCTGAAAGCCAGGCAGGCGGCCACCATAGCACATCACTCCTCCTAACCAGACGTTTCATCTTTTATGGGAAAGAGTGAAAATGGATCTTTGGCTCTGGCTGGTGTGGCTCAGTGGACTGAGCACCGGCCTGCCGGCCAGGGAATCACCAGTTGGATTCCCAGTCTAGGGCGCATGCCTGGGTTGTAGGTCAGGCCCCCAGCAGGGAGTGTGTGAAAGGCAACCACACATGGATGTTTCTCTCCTTCTCCCTTCCTTCCCCTCTGTAGAAATAAGTAAAATCTTAAAAAACTTAAAAAGAAACAAAAGAAGAAATGGATTTTCATACAGGGAGCTTGGGAAGGCCAGAAAAGAACACAGGCCTCGGAAAGCACAGGTCCGCTCCGCCAGAAGGTGCAGCGCCCCGACCTGCCCTGACTCCGCGGCGCGGTCCGCCAGCCCGACTCCGCAGACTCCTGAGACCAACTTGGAGGAAGGACCAGGTACCTGTGTCAAAAGCAGCAAACCCTCCTCCGAAAGACGGAAATCCACTGAAGGCGGAGAAGAAGGAGCCTGCGCCGCGGTTCCGGCTCCCGCGGGAGCTCCGCCTGTTCCCGAAGAAGTCGTCGAAGGGGTCGTCTGTGAACACACACAGTGGTGAGATGCTGCTCCAAGGGACAGCTGCCCCCAGGGAGGCGTCTCTTGGCCCAGCGAGTCCTTCTCCCCGGTGGCACACCGCCCCCGTCCGTGGGGTCCACCCAGAGCCAAGTGCACCGGGACAGACGGACAGCCACCCCTCAGGCTGCAGGCTCTGGGGCCTGGGAGGCCAGCATGGGCCACGTGCAGGCACGCGGTCGTGTGGGCAGCATTCCCCAGCACAGCCCGAAACAACTACAGGAACGGACCACTCGCCGCTGCTGCCGCCGCACAGAGAGACCAGTTGGTCACCCTGGGCCTTGGATGTAGGGACGCCCACCATCCCTGTAAACATGGCGTCTCAGAACTGCATCTGAAAGGCAGTGGCAGAGTCAGCTCTGAAGACAGAGGCACCGAAGTTGCAGGGCTGACATCATCCACTCTGACAGACAGCCGCTGCCCCCGAAAGTGCGAGGCGGCGCATCCCTAGAGTCTGCAGTGGTCTGCTTGTCAACGAGCAGCTTCCACTGAGGTTCTACGAGATTAATCACCACTCCATTTTTCTCAGAAAAATGGAAATTAACAAGAAAAAGAATCTGATGGACAGAAAGACAGCAGTGCCTGGGGGGAAAGAAGAGAGCCGCCCGTTGGAGAGCGCAGGGGCCGGCACAGGGACGGGAACGGGGTGCCCAGCGTGAGGCCCCACGGCATGCAGTCCCGCGCAGAGCCGTGCAGCATGCTGCCACACACGGTTGTGCGGTCCAGGTGTCCCCCGGTCACTGCTCTGAGGACCAGTCCTGGGGACTTCAGGGTCCTAGGGCGCCTCGGTACCTGCACGCCGCTCAAAGGCTCTGGGAGGGGGCTGTTGTGCAGGGTGGCGGGCCCCCCGTAAAATCTCCCTCTGCAGAAGTGCCTGCAGAGGCTGGTTCAGGAGAGTGTGAGGAAGGTCAACTGCTTTTTGGTTGTATTTTGTTGCCTTTTAAATAAATACATCTTGCTTATTTTCCTCCTGATACTATATAACCTAAATGTTACTGTCTACAATTCAGATATTCACAGAATTTTAACACAGACATTCAAAGATTAAAGTCACAAAACTGCCCTGGCTGGTGTGGCTCAGTGGACTGAGCGCCAGCCTGCAAAACAAAGGGTTTTATTTTTAGTCAGACTAAAAATAAGTCTGACTTATAACTGTCATTAGAAACACACGTTTTCAATGTCACAATGATGTTGTTAAAAGTTGCCGCCAGGAGACTAAATCCTTACCAGGAGCTTCCCATCACTGGCCACACTGCGTTTTGCCCTTTTAAGGGGGTACAGTCATACATCACAAGCTTTTAAATCTTCAACCCAAAGCCAAATACAACTGTTTAAAACCCTCAACCCAGCAATTCTACTTAAAGAAGAAAACAAAAACATCACCTCGGCCCAAGCAGACAAGAGCCCGCTGCTCAGTGAGACCCCCGCGCACCGCTGACAGCAAGGGCCACCAACGGCCTGATCCCCAAGGCAGGGGACAGGCAGGCGGAGCTCGGGTCCTGTGCAGGCCGAGACACGGTCACAGCGCTCACGCCTCAGAGGCACTCGGAGCGGGATGCGTGTGGAGCAGTCACAGGGCCTGACACAGGCGTCAGCCATGCCTCCGCCTGGCGGCAAGGCCAAGGGCCCTTGCTCCCCCTCCTTTCCACTCTCTTCTGTGTTCCAAGTCTCACCCGGAGCACGTGTGTTCTACTGCTTTTGAGGTTGGAAGGAGTGAACACCGTACTCTGAGGTTTCCCAGACCAGGGTGACAACACGTGAACACACCGAAACACGCTGCCAAGTCCGCCTCTTGCCCACCCACACCTGGCCTGGAGGGTGAGGGGCAGTGGGAAGAGGGGGCTGTAGCTCTCTCCCACCAGCTGTACCCCCGGGGCCACACCCATTTAAGGGCCACAGGGGGAGGGGTCTCGGGGGATCTGGGGATGAGGCCAGCTCTCAGAGCAGCAGCCTGAACAGAACAAACGGCCCTTCCCATGTGGGTGGGGGGCCTGTCCCATCTGCAGAAGGCCTGCCGCTCTGGGGCTCCTGCAGCCCACGGGCCTCTGGCCTGGAGCCGGACGTCAGCTATGCAGCTGCTGACCTGTCTTCGTGCTCCAGGGAGCTGGCTCTGTGCACTACAGGTGGACGAGGACAGACACGGGGGCACCGAGAGAGGGAGAAGCCAGTACGGACACTGGATGTGAGGACGTCTGCTCAGGCATGTCTGTGCCCCTCTGACACCCCGTGTGTCCTGAGACACGGCCCCACTCGAGCCAGCAGGTCCACAACATGGCTGGCTTCCTTCTCCAGTCCGAGTCTGATGCAGCCTGCACCGAGCCCGTCTTTGAAACTTCATGGACCCTGCTCTGTGCTCAGAATACACAGCTCCACCATGCAGGCGGCCCCACAGCAGGGAGTCGGCGCCCTGTGACGTACCTCCCGCGGCCAACCCCAGCCTGAGGATTCTAATGCACAATCCCAGAAACGACTCACAAGTTTCACATCACACGCTGTTCGGAGGCACACGCTGAAATCTCGCTCCATCCCACTCAGGGCGCAGACGAGCCCTCCGTCCCATAGGCCACACTGCGCACAGGACAGGAGGGGACACCGGGAGACGCCATGTGCATGTCACCGCATGTGCCACCGTCGCCACTCCCCCGCCCCCCGCCGGTGTCTGCAGTGCCTGGCGGACAGTGGGGTTTCCTAGACGAACAGGGTGTGTGTGTACAACAAAGAACACAGTGCACCTGGGGTTTGGCTCCATCTCTGGTTTCTGGCATCCACTGGGGGTCTCAGGACGCACCCCTCAGATGGGGGCACCGCTTCCAACAAAAAATACATTGATCTGAGTGGTGTGGGGAAAATGGGCACCGAACACACACATCTGCGCCCACACGTGCACCTGCACCCACAGGCACGTTTTCCGAATTTTCACCCAGACTCAGCCTGAGAGAGCACCTCACCCACAGTGCCAGTCCTGGCTCGGAAGACCCACACACACCATAGGAAACTGGCCCTATGAGCACAGGACCACAAACGGGATCTGAGGGCGTTGGGGACACCTGAGACAGGGTGGAGGTCTCCCAGCAAACCCAGCCCCGAGAACCAGGGTCATAGCCCTCCGCTGACCCTCAGACCTGGGGAACATGAGACCCTGCATATGCAGAAGCAGAACACCTACTTGGAAGGAATTGAAAATTGATGTGACAGCAACTTAAGGACTCAGCAGGGGGCACTCAGGCTGCCCAGCTCCCACACCACTGCTCCAGAACAATGGAGAGCTTTGGGTCACGTCCCGGCCAGGCTGCAGCACCGTTCCCGCAGCCGCAAACCTCCGTCCTCAGAGCCCAGACTCACCCCACCCTGGTGGCATGGTCCTTGACCCAAGCCCCGGAAACGACCTCACAGGGGCCTCAGGGGCAGCTGGGTCTCATCTCATGGGTGTCCCTTCGGCCAAACAGCCTCCCCACCCCCTCCTGGCAGGAAGCAGCGCCCACAGGGGCCTCAGCTCCACCAGACTTCGAGCAGAAAGGCTGGTCCGTGAAAGACTTGGGACACACTGACTCAGGGCCACCTGCAAACCGCACACGAGGGGAGGACCTGCCTGCCGGGAGCACATGCTGGCTCCCATGACGGAGCACAACACAGCAAAGGGCTGGCACCCCACTGCGGGTCCCACAGCCCAGGAATTGACCAACTGGTCCTCAGGAGGAACGAACGACCTTCCCAGAGACCACCCCCTCCCAGCTCTGTGGGGAGGGTGCTGTCAAAGAAGGGTCCACGGACAAGCAGCCAGGTAGCAACACAACCACCCTCCCCACCCCCACCCCGCCCCCTCATCCACCAGCACCTTCTCCATGAGTCTCAGGTGAGAATTAACTCCCCAGGGCTGCTCCACACCTGCACAGGCAGGTGCAGCTCTTGGAGAACGGCTCACCCAGAGCGCTGACCCCCACCCCCCAGTGAGAAGCAGGTGGGAGCAGCTGCTCCCCCCTCCGAGGACCCCGGGCCTCACCAGAACTGATCTGAACCAGGGTCGCATGAGGTTCTCCTCGGCGGGAGGACCTCGCCCTGCCACCCCACCCCTGTGCACAGCGTAAGCCAGCGCCTTGTCACAGACAAGACCACACAGGCACAAGTCACTCCTGGGCCCCCACCTGAGCACCAGACTGTCCCTGCTCCAGAGCTAACAGCCCAGTCAGAAGACCGCGTCCCTGGCTGCACTGTGGCCCCGCTGTGCTGCTTAGCAGTCACCAAGGAGCCTCACCGCTGCAGTTGCACACAGAGGCTAAGTTTGGACCGACAGGCCACATGGGGACACAGTGTGCAGACACGTGCACGCCAAGGAGGCTCTGGGGCCACCAGAAGCTAGAGAGGCCCGGAAGGGACGCCCCCTCACAGCCACCCGCCTCAGACCCTGACCTTAGGCTCCCAGCCTCCAGCACTGTGGTTCTGGTCCCAGAAAGAGCCCTGCCCACCCCAGTGTCCTCAGTGGTCACCACGCCAGTGCCAAATCTGATCAAGGGCTGCTCCAGCCAAGAAGCAGTAGCAGAAACTCTTTATTCACGATACACTCACCATGGCTGGCCCTCAAAGCCAACCATGTGGTCACAGGTGTGCCAGCAGCACCTCGAGCTCTGGGCCACTGTCCTCACTCAACAGCTCCTCGATGTCCTCACTGAGCCCCTGGCTGTCCCCCAGGCTGGCCTCGCCCTCCTCGCTGGACGTGAACTTTAGGTCCTCTCTCAGGAGCTCTGCCTGGCCCCAGCTCCAGCCCTCCTCGCTCGACTCCCCTGCACTGAAGCCCTCGAGCTCCTCGCTGGAGACCACCTCCAGCGCATCACTGCTCCCCACGCTCAGGACGTCGTCCTCCGTCGGCGACTCCAGCTCCTCCCCAGGCGGCTCGGCCTCCTCGAACCCTGGGGGGCAAAGGGAGGCTCACTACACAACAGGGGCCACACCCTCCTCCACAGGCTGTCCCGCTTCTGGAGACCCTACAGAGGGAAAGGGGTGGGGACAGACAAACTCTCTGGACACAGGGCGGGGTTTCCAGTGAGCCAAACTGAGAATGCAAGTGTGTCCACCTGGGGCTGCCCCGGACGGCCCCAGTGTGCACAGATGTAGCCTGACTGGGCGAGAGCCCCGCACTGGTGAGTGAATGCCAAGAGGGTCCTGATTCAGGGTGCTGCCCTGCACCCAGGTCGACAGCAGCCCCAGAAGCCAGGCTCAGAACCAGCCCCCGCCCCTGCTGGAGGCTCGAGGCCAGCAGGGCCCCAGCCAAGTCCTCCTGCAGGCCAGGGGCGTCCTTGCCACTGGGTGCTCAGGCCCAGAACTGCTTACTGTCTGCCCAGCACCCGTCTGCTGTGTCTGGCCAGTCTTCAGCCCCACCTGAGATTCTACGTTCTGACCGGCAACAGCTTCAGCTTGAAGTGTCTCGTACCAGACCGTGAACCCGTGTTTTGGACATCAGGCAGGTCATGTGACCCACAGAGCTGGCAGACAGGAGCTGCCCCTCGCACGTACCGCCAGCAGGCCACGGCGCCACGCCACATGTGCGGTCGCCAGGGAGCTGCTCCTCTTCCTGCATGCAGATCCTGACAGCCTGAAAATGGAAGCCTCCTAGGACACCTGCAAGGCCGGGCGGGAGAGGGGTCACCGCCACAGCACGGGTGGGGATGGCGGAGCCTGCATCACCACACGAGCACCGCCTCTGGGCGGCAGGCCAACGTCCAAACAGCAGGGGGGTCAGCCCCACCTCCACCAGCTGAGGCCCAGAGGAAACAGCCGCCCAAGTGGGAGAATCAGGTGCGAACAGCTGCAGCCAGAGGTGCTCCGTCCGTATTGACCCCTGTCCACCTGGCCTCTCTGTGCATCGTGCTCTAGAAAGAGCTGCTCGGGACAACCTGTCTCAGTGAGGAGGCCTGGATCAGCCTGTCTCGGCTTCTCCCCAAGAGAGGCACACCCCACCCCTCTCACCACAGCGGGTCTCGCCCCTCACTCTCACCTTTAAAGCGTGACATGAATTGCACCCCAGGTGCCTTCACCACAGGTCTTTCCTCCCACCACCTTGGTCCTGTGCACCAGAGACCCCATACCCAAGAAGGCAGAGGGCCAGCCCACCTAACAGAAGGCTGTCCCCCAAAACTATCCTGCCCCACAAAACTGCACACCTGGACTCTGCTGAGGGCCGTGCTGAGACACGGAACAGCCCACACAGGACGGGCAAGCACGCTCGCCTACAGGGAGCCCGTGCCGCACCCACTGCAGGTCCGGGATGGCAGCGAGCACAGCCGCTCTGCAGAATGAACCCAGCCTGCACACAGTGGGAACGCAGCTCTGCTAGGCCCCCGCAATCCATCAGTGAGGGCGAGGCTTGCAAACACACACCAACAGTCACCTGCCCCTCCACAAGCCACACGCCACCGTCTCACGGCCAGGCTGCAATCCAGCAGAGCAAGGCAAGTGTCCCTGAATCCCCATCACCAGGAGCAAGAGCTAGGACCACCCAGCTGAGGAGGATGCACACCCACCGCACACAGCAGTGGGTCGCTTTGCCTGCACTGCGACGAGCGGGTCCGTGGTCCCTGTGGCATCTGCAGACTGGGCTGCTCTTCAACATCCCCCCCCCCCGAGGGCATGCAGGTGCTGTCCAGCCCCCACACCCAGGCCCCAGCATGAGGGGACACGAGGCACTGCCCCTCAGTGAGCCCAAAGGCAGAGCAGCCGGGGCAACACCACCAGCCAGCATCCAGACACCCAGCTGTGGCGGGCTGATGGACATGCCCACAATGCGTGTGCCCGAGACAAACGTGGGCACGGAGAAGATGGGACTAGCCTCTATCCTTCAATGTGGGAGCGGCAACACCACAGCCCCCTCTAGCACACCACACGGCCCGGAGCCGACTCCTCCCGCAGACTGCACTCAACCCTGCTGCCCCAGGACCACCAAACATACAGCACAAGAAGCTACAGAGAAACCATCCCCCAACACTGCAGCTGTGGCGCTGCAGGTCCCCGTCAGCCTGCACAACACGCTTGCCCACTCGAAGCAGCCACCCGAGGCCTGACCACTGCACACCGGAGGAGGCAGAAGAAGTCCATGGGGACCCTTTGCAGTGAAAAGGACACGCGAAAACCTTCGCCGTTTCACTGTTCGGGGTGTGAACTCAGAAGAACCTTCAAGGAGCGCACAAGGAACGCTGGGGCCGTGTGCTGTGTGCTAAGTCGGTCGGACCTCCCCGCTGGCCGAGACACAGCAGAAACAGGGGGCCGCCACCAGCCCTCCCTCCCAGGCCTCGTGGGGCCCCCCATGGGCCACAGCCCAGGCGGCAAACTTACCAAAGAAGTCGAACGAGAATGGGTCCCTTCCACCGAAGAAATCCCTGAACACGTCCTCTGGGTTCCGGAACGTGAAGCCGAACTCGCCAAACCGATTGTCAAAGTGGCTCCCACCTGGGCAGGAACAGCGGGCTGTGAATGCTGCGGGCCGCACGCCGCCCCATCTGTCTGCGGAGCGCTCCACACACCCGGGCCCTGAGCCGCTCCGGAACCCCAAGGCAGGGGAGCCTGTGCCCCGCCCCACCCCGCACGGCGCCTGCACCTCCAGCAGATGTGTGCTTGGACAAGGGTGTCCCTCCTCGCTCCCGCCTCGAATGTGCGCTCAGCACACACCCACTCCACCAGGAAACCCCGTGCACACTCGCGCACACCCACAGCCTGTCTGGGGGGGTGGGGAGCACGGACTCCCTGGTGGGCCTGCGCCGTGGGGAGGCCCGCAGAGCAGCACAGGGGCGTTTCACCAAAGCACAGCTGCCTTGCCTCACCGCCTGAGCGGTGGCTTCTGTCTCCCAGTGGGACCTGTCTGTAACCCCTAAGGACACTGCACTGGATGCACAAACTCACCCTGCGTTGTTTCCTATCTAGTCTCGTAAGCGCCATCCATCTGTCCTTCCTCTCCCGGCCCCACCTGTCCCAGCTGCAGGCTGTCCTGCGCCCCTCCCATGCCCACGTGTCCACGAGAGCTCACACACTCCCTCCCCCACCCCCGTCTCGATGTGTGTCATCAAAGGAAGCCCGACACTGGCGTACCTCCACCTCCATTCAGTCCTTCTTTGCCATATTTGTCATAGATGTCCCGCTTTTTAGCTGTGAAGTTAAAAAGAAAAGTCAGCAAAGACCATGCACCTTTCTCAACCAAGCCCGTAAACAAAGGACCCTGAGTTGTAAGTCAGAGACCAACGCAGGCAGAGGGGAGGGGGTGGAAGACGGTACAGAGGACAGGGGTGGTGATGGGAGAAAACACAGTAAGACGTGACTGTCAGAACCTTAAAGACAGACCAAGCGGTTCTCAGTGTTCTGTCGGCGGTAAGGATGGGGCCGACCACACTCTGAACGAGAGAAGGAAGAGAGAATATCTAAAAGCACATCTCTCCTTAAAATCTCAGAAAACCTTCCAGTGTTATGAAGTTAAAACATGATGATCAATGTTAAACACTTCACCCTAGCTGGTGTGGCTCAGTGGATTGAGCACTAGCCTGCAAACCAAGGGATCTCTGGTTCGATTCCCAGTCCAGGCATACGCCTGGGTTGCAGGTAAGATCCCCAGTAGTGGGAGTGTGGGAGGCAACCACATTCTGAAATCTGTCTCCCTCTTTTTCCCCCCTTCCTTCCCCTCTACCTAAAAAAATAAAGTCTGAAAAAAAATTTAGTCTCACCCCACTGCCCAGAGCCCACATGTGCTACATGAAACCACACCCCAAGTCTCGAAGAGTTTCGGCCCTCGCCATTGGGTGGGGCAAGTGGACGGGTGCAGGAAACCGAGGCAGGCAGCCACAGGCCCCGTGGCCCCTGTAAGACAGTGGCCTGGCCAGCCATGCAGAGTCCTGTCCCCTGACCTTCCAGGGGAAGAGAAGAGCAGAGCAGCATCGGCCATGCCCCCACCCCCACCCGGCGCTGGGATCCAGCGTCCTGGCGATGACAGGCACTCCCTGGAGGTGATGCCCAGCTGCCGGCTCTGGCCGCAGGCTGCTTGAGAGCCCAGGAAAAATGCAGCTCCATCACAAAGAAACAAAAAAAAGAGAAAGGTGACAACTGCACAGACGGGCATTTACAGGCTATCTTGCTGTGAAGTTCAAGTTTGGGCTCAGCACTGTTTCCTCTGTCCTGGTCTGGAAGTGCCCACACACTCAGGACCCCAAGGTCCCGTGCGTCCCAAGTCAGTGGGGCTCAGAAGCCCAGCCAAGGTCTGAGACCAGAGGCTGCACACACCTGCAGTGAGAGGCCCCGCCTCCACCTGAAACAAAGGAGGGAGTGCTCAAAGGTACAACAGGGCACTGACACCTAGTGACCACTGGCCGCTCAGGCCCAAGGCAGCAGTGGCTTTCAACAGTGACCCTGACCCACGCAAACACTCTCGGAGCAGCAGCCACCCGGGCAGGTAGGTCACCCGCCCAGCGTCCCGCCTGGCCAGGTTGGTGCAGTGGCTTCCCAGGTTCCTTCCCGAGACCCACACGGTCGGTCCTCCCTCACCCAGAACCCAGAGGTGGTCTCCTTGCCACCAAGCACTGCGGACCAGAGCCGGGAAACAGCTGGGCTCCCTGGGCTCATGACTCCAGGCTGGAGGAAAGGACTGGCCACCACTCCATGCCTGCACCCCGGCCAGGACGGGAACCGCCCCCAGAGCCTCCACCTCAGCTGTGCATGCAGTCCCTCCTGCCGGAAACCAAGGAAGCCCTTCCAAGTGCTACAACTCAGCCATGAGCACAAAGGTGAAGGCGGTGCGGTGAGCAGGAGCAGTCCTGCACCACAAAGGGGGCCGCCACACACAGGCCGTGGCCTCGTCTGTGCTGCCATCCTCGCACCCAGGGCCGGCTCTGTGCTGAGCCACCCAGGGGGAGCCCACGAGGCGCACAGGGTCCAGTCTTCTGGAAGACAGCCAGACTTTCTCCACAGACCGCGCCCACCCCTGCCCCGCGAGGGCGCCACACACAGGTCACTCACCATCAGACAGCACCTCGTAGGCCTCGGCCACTTGTTTGAATTTCCGCTCTGCTTCTTCTTTGTTGTCAGGGTTTTTATCTGGATGCCACTTCAGCGCCAGTTTTCGGTACCTGGAGAGGAGCGGGGGAGCATCGATCACAATGGAGTCCGAGCCCTCAGAGCCGCAGGCTGGTGAGGGCAGCGATGGTTCGGCCCAACAATCACCATGCCCCAGAAACATGTGAACAAGTTCTGCGGCCCAGGGGCCACGGAGCAGAGCAGCCTCCGGAGGCAGGACCGAGGCAGGACAGCGTGCCGTGTCCAAGGCCCCAGTGTGTGCGTGCATGTAGGGAACACGTCCCACAGAGGGTGCCGCTGGGCAGGAAGAGGTGCCCACTCCCACCCTGGCGAAGGTCATGCATTCCAGGTCTTCACAAAGCCACCCCACTGTGAACTCACCAGTCTGTGACCAACATCACCGTGTTCCAAGGTGACAATGGACAATAACGCCATTTTAAACTCAAAAGGTCCTCTTAGTTGAGCTAAGCACAGGCAGCCTTTTTTGACGGGGACAGTGCATGGGGAGGGGCTGCCCCTCAAAGTCTGGGCAGAGGGGCACAGGGACCTCCTCACACCTGGCAAGGTCCTGAGGGGGGGCTGTAGTGGTTCAGAGTGTGACCTCGGCTGACCACACCCCTGCAGGGGCAGACCCCACCCCCACCAGCTCCCAGCCCTGCTGAGGGGTCATGTGAGAGCAGGACATGTGTGTGCACCCCCCAGAAGAGGCCCATGCCCTATAAGCCGTGCCCACGTGCCCACCGGACCTCAGGCTCCCAGCAGCACCGCAGCTGCGAGGTGGGAAGGCCCCCAGGCAGAGGGCCTGTGACACAGACCTGGGGCAGTGACAGCCACACAGCACCTTCCGTCCAAAACAGGAGGTGTCCTGGTCACCGCACTCATCCTCCCCAGAAGGTGCACCACCCATTAGAAATCAATGAGGCCACCCCGGCAGGCGCGGCACCACACACTAAGTGCCCTGAGTGCCGTGGACTAAGCGCCAGCCTGCAGTCTGAGAGGCTGCATATTCAGGGCCCACGCTTGGGCTGCAAACCTGGCCCCCAGCTAGGGGCGGGTGAGAGGCAACCAATGGGTATTCCTCTCACGAATCGATGTTTCTCACCTCCTCTTTCTTCCTCCCCCTCTTTGTAAAAACAACATCTTTTAATAATGAATGAGTGAATGCACAAATGCATGGGACTAGCCCTGGATGTGTGTAGCTCAGTTGGCTTAAGCATCATCCCATAAAAAAGGCTTGCAAATTCAATCCCCAATTCATGAGTGTACGGAAGGCAACCAATAGAGACTTCTCTCTCCCCTCCTCTCTAAAAGCAATGGAACAAAGGTCCTCAGATGAGACTAAAAAAAAAAAAATACAAAAGGAGGCTAAATCCAGCCGGTCGGGATTTATTCCCCTGGGCTGCCCTCGGTGAGGAAGCCCCACCCGCTACGGGCCACTGTGCCTCCTGGGCTACACCGCACCGCATGCAGGTGGGCCTCCCCCGACGGGGTGTCCTGTGCACCCAGGGTGTCTGTGCCAGGGCAGAACAGGGCTTCCCACTGCCCCGAGCTCTCCCCAGCTGTGAGCTATGATGGAGTGAAGAGGCCCCCAGCCAGCTGGACACAGTCTTCCGAAGTTTCTTGGTCCAGGTGTGACAAGGCAAGGTCTCAGGCAACTCCAGGTAAGCCCGGCACAGCGCACAACCTGCTCTGGGTCTGGTCTCTTAGAACAAACTGGTGCAGAGACCCCTCTTTTCCAGCTGCAGACCCTCCCAGGACTCCTTTGTGGACTCGTTAGAAAGTGGGTCCCGAGACCTGCTTCCCACTCTCCCAGGATGCCTGACTTGGGTTCCCAGCAGGGCCACAATGCTGGGACATCTGCCTGCTGACCTGTTCTGCTCTGTCACCGCCTAATAAATTAAGGAGATGCAGCTCCCCTGGTCCAGGCCCTGGGCACAGGCTGGGCCCCTGGCAGTGGGGTTCCAAGAGACCACACAAGGACACTACGCCAGGTCACCTCCACCTCCAAGCCCAACGTAAGGGCTCTGGGATTATCTCACATCCCCAGAAGCAACCTCCAACAGAAACAGTATCCACTGCCCCAAAGCCAGGGACAGAAGGAACCATGGGACCCCCCCCCCCCAGGGCTGGGCTGAGGCTGAAGACCAAGATGATGGACTCAGTGAACACTGGCACAAACAGCACCCAAGCATCCAGGGCCAGCACACAGGCTCCTCACTGCAGACGCTTGGCTACTTACGCCTTTTTAATGTCCTCGGCCGAGGCATGTCTCTGCACGCCTAGAACTTCATAGTAATCCACCATGTTTCCACAGGCTGCTGGGAGAGCCCTGCAATCAGAAACGGTGGTCAGGACAACACTGCAAGGCTGGGCCGTCGTGAGGAGGCACAGTGGCGGGTGATGTCCCCTTGGCAACGACCGCTGGCTTGCCAGGCTGCAGTCTTGGCAGAGACCGAAGGGACTCCTGCCCTAAGTAAGATCCTTCTTGACGCGAACAAGAAAAGCTCTGAAAAGCCTCGTAACACCCTAAACCACTGATCTCCAGCCTTTCTCATCTTGTGGCACACAAACTACTGAAATCCTGCAGCACACCGGAAAGTGTATTTTGTCCCATCTGACCAAAAAAGTAGGTATGATTCTGACTCGCTCACACCAGACAACTGTTGTGGTGGCTGGTGCTGTGTTTCATTTGGTGACCCCAGGGGAAAGGGGTCAGCACCCCGACTACACAGTCCAGTGCTGCATGCTCTCAAAGTCACCACAGACCCAAACTAGGCACTGTCGCCAAGACGCAGCACCCGGCACCCGCCCGAGCAGCAGCTGGCAGGCCCCCGGGAACGCCCTACCTTCCTGCCTCCGTCCATGCTCAGGGGCTCTGGCTACCTCATGCGTCCAGAGTGTCCCTGTGCCAGGCACGGGGCAGGCACAACGTCCCCAGACAGAGGACATGCGGTGTGGAACCACATACGGCGCTCCCCAACACGCCCAGGAGGGAACGGGGCCTTCTTTGGCGGAGGGCTATCGACTGGGTCGACCGACTGAAGTGAATCTCAGGGAAGAGCTGTAACCTTAAACTCACTGCTGAAAGTCTGCGTGCAGACGGCTACGAGACTGCGTGACGGAAGAGCACACATGCGTGGCCTGTGGACGTGAACGACAAACTGTGCGGACTGCCTGTGGGGGGGGCGCGGCTGGGCGGAGGGGGGCAAACAGGGAACAGCTAAGACAACTTTAACAGCAGAAACAGTATCTTTGAAAAAACCAAAAGAAACAAACTTGGCAACAGGACAGACTACAAACCTGCCACGGACAGCACCGAATTTCATGTTTCTCAGCCAACAGCGCATCAGTGAGCGGAGCAACAGATCCATGCCTCTCTCTCAAATCAGTAACTGTTTTAAGTGGTTTTAAAAAAAAAAAAAAAGACGACTGAGAGCAGAACGACTTCAAGAGACGCAACATCCCAAACGGGACCACCGCAGGGAGAAGAGAGAAGCAGAGCAGCGTCCTGCAGCCTGCGGTCCATCAGAGCTGCCTGGGGTCAACGCCAGACAGCAAACCGCACACCCAGAAGACCTGCACACTGAGCAGGCCTGACACTAGAAGCACGCTGGTGTGTCACATTGAAATTTCAGAAAAATCAAAGATAAAAACACCCCATAAGCCACAGGAAAAACACCTTCCTACAAGGAAGCAGAGGAGGACAGATCCGCAAGCAGGAGTAGAGCGGGGCCAAGGGCCCCGAGCCCCGCAGGGCGCCCGCCGTGGCACAGGCCCTCAGTCCCATCGACAGCAGCAGAGGCACTGGCTGGCGGCAGGCCGGTGCGCACGTATTAAAAGCTCCTCAGAGAGAAGGGAAACAACGTGGCTCAGACACACAGGGGTCGGGGACGCATCGAAAAGAGGAGGGTGAAAATAAAATCTTGTTTTTCTTATTCCTAACGGATCTAACAGGTAATGGTTCATCCAAGTAACAGCAAAAAGCATCCCATCATGCAGGAGTCCACGTGTCCGTGTGCTGCATGGAGTGAGTGTGGTAAGGGCCCTGGTGGGCGAAGGAGAGTCAGGAACAGCTGCTTTCGCCAGGCACCTGCGCCTGGGCCTGTGCCTGCACCTGCACCTGGCTGCAATCTGCCCTGGCTGGTGTGGCTCAGTGGACTGTGCGCCACCTGTGAACCAAAGGATCACAGGTTCAACTCCCAGTCAGGGCACATGCCTGGGTTGTGGGCCAGGTCCCCAGTAGGGGGGCACTTGAGAGGCAACTGCACATGGACATTTCTCTCCCTCTTTCTCCCACTGTCTAAAAATAAAATGTTTCTGGAAAAAACACACAAAACATGACTGTGTGACATGACAAAAGTGTTACCTGAACTACTAGTCATATTGCAACATATAAACAACTCAAACATCTACATCTCCAACGTACATATAAATATCAAACAAAAAAAAAACTAAGCTATGAAAATTAAAAACACACAATCACAAACATGAACCAAAAACCAGTGAGCGTGAAGACCAGAGCAGTGGGGTGCCGGGTGGGAAGGAGATTAGAAGCCAGTGCGTCCAGCTTACACTGCAGAGGCCCTTCAAGGCTTAGGAACTGGCCAGACAAGTTCAGAGATGATTCGACTCACGGGCCAACCACTGAGGCCCCACAGGCAGGCAGAGGGCATGGTGAGCTCGAGTCCTGGCTGGCACAGCCCCCACCATGGGAGCCCAGTCTGAGCACGGGTGGCTGCCTGTCCCATCCGCCCTTCTCCCACGCGGACCACTATGTCCCACAGGCTGCACCCCAGTGGCAAGCCCAGACAGCCCCGGTTCTCCCATGACAGCTGCCCTCTTCATCTTCGAAACATGCAACCCATTTTTTTTCAAGAGGACACAGCACCCCTGCAGTCCAGAGGCCCTGCCCATCACAGCTGCCTGGTACTGTCATGCTCCGGCTTCCCGGGCGACGGAACCCGCCGCCAACCCGGGATGGCTCTCCAACAGTGACTGCAGCCCCTCCGCCAGCCCTGGCCGTGCTTCGGGCTCACTCACAGGGTCTCCAACAACTGCTTGTGCACAGCCCCAGGCCTTTGCATCTGGCTGATGCCTTTCTGAAGTTTTTAACCAAACCTTACAAAGGCTCAGCTGAAACCTGTGGAAACCAGGCCATAAGCTGTGTTTGCTCATACTCCCCCTCTGACGCAGGGTCCCACTGGGTCATGTGCCACCAGAGCCAGAAAAAGGGCCACGCCAACAGGACACTTCCACGCCACGACTCTTGAGGACTCAGGACTCTGCGTCACTCTTGCTAAATAAACAAGCCTCTGAGAAAAAAGGGCCCCGTCCCCCGACGGCACGCTGCCCTCACGACCTCCTTTCCCTGGGCGTCACGGGAGGTGGGTGCGCAGGGGGCGCTGCACAGGGCCCCAGATGTCTCACGCCCCTGCCCGCCCTCGTGTTCTGAGGGAAACATCCTGCAGTCCACCTGCAGGACGACTGTTACAGAACGACCCTCAGTCCCTCCAGCTGGGGAAGGGAACTCAGACGCCACTATGCGCAAGCTACCTGGTCCCAGTGCTGCCAGAAAGGACGGAGGCAGGAAGCAGTGATCACTCTGGAGCGGCTTCCCAGATGCCCTTCTGCTACCTGGTGACTTCCCAGAACACACAGATAGGGAGAAACCAACAAAGTGCACAAGCAGTCCCAGCTGACCTGGCTCGGTGGGCTGAGCACTGGCCTGTGAGCCAACAGGCTGCTGGTTCAGTTCCCAGTCAGGGCACAGGCCTAAGCTGTGGGTCGGGTCCTGGATGGGAAGTGCTCGAGGCAACTGATGGGTGTATCTAGAGCACGTGGATGTTTCCTTCCACTCTTTCTCCCTTCCTTTCCCTCTAACTAAATAAAGGGCTTTTTAAAAATGACTTGAGCAATCCTTCCTTATCACAGATCATCTACCTAAATATTTGGTTCTTACACAACGTCCCCTAAAGCATTCCTGAAACACACAAGGAAAGTCACCTCCTCTGACCCTGATGAAGACCACTGGCACCTACCCGACTCCTTCATTAAGATTTTATTTATTTACCGTTTTGTTTTGGTTTCTTTTTAGAGGGAGGGGGAGCAGGGGAGAAAGAGAGGGAGAGAAATCTGAATGTGCAGTTGCCTCTCACGTGCCCCCCGCAGAAGACTTGGCCTGCCACCCAGGCACGCGGCCCGACTGGGAATCCAACTGGCGACCTTTGGTTCACAGGCCGCACTCAATGCAGAGCCACACCAGCCGCGGCCGATTCCTTTCTTTAAGATAAAATAGGGCACATCGGCAAGTGCTCGATCTCTGGTACTTGTGAACTTAAACCACGTGCATATGTGTATTTCTCCCACTTTCCTGAACTCGGGATTCCACTACTAACTGCAGAAGGGAGACCAGAATGCAGACGAACCAGGAAGAAGGCCCGTTCAGTCCTTTCTGGACTCGCGAGCTCAGGACAAGGCTGCAGGCACAAAGGACACAAGAGAGACTCGACACTCAACCTGCAGGAACGTGCAGGGTTGCCAGGCGCCACACACCAACACAGGGCAGACCCACTGCGCCTCTGTGGGGAAGGCAGGGCCGGAACCTCAAAGGGCACCACATCCCCTTGTCTGAGGAAACCCCCCTTCCAAAGGCCACGGACACTTGCCGCTGAGTCTAAGAACCCAGCAGGCAAGCTGTGGACTCGATCTGGGTGTCCGTCACCAGGTGAGTGGGCACCGGGGTCACAGGTACAGCGAGTTCTCACTCAGCCATCAAGAGTAACACCAAAGGACCTGGCCAGCACTGTGCTAAATTTAGTCAGGCAGACAGTCCCCATTTGCTTTCACATATATGGGGACCTAAAAAACAAGAAACAGAAAAGAGACTCGCACAGAACTAACAGGTGGCTGTCCGCGGGTGGGGGTGGGGTAAAAGGACCCGAAGACAGCTGGAGTATCTGGGTGTACCACTAGTTCTGCCGCCTCACAGCCATGCTGCGGTTTTCCATTTAGAGAAGGTACAGAGTTTAAGAGATATGTCTTGTTGTGTCCCAATAAGACAGTAATGTGCCAAGGGTCAAGGCTATAAAGAGCATATTCTCTGCTTTGAAATACACTGCAAACCTCAGAAATGTGGGTTTTTGGTGTTTTTTTTTTCAGAAATTAATCTCCCCACCTTAAAAATAAGTTTTTTGTGTAGCTCAGTGGATTGAGCACAGGCCTGTGAACCAGACAATTGCAGTTCGATTCCCAGTCAGGGCACATGCCTGGGTTGCAGGCTGGTCCCCTGCAGGCCAGTTCCCAGCAGAGGACACACGAAAGGCAACCGTACATTGATGTTTCTCTCCTCTCTCCTTCCCTTCCCCTCTAAAGAGAAATAAATAAAATCTTAAAAAAAAAAAAGAAAAAAAGACATCTTATATCCTTCTTCCCAAGTATAAAAAGTTTTTTTTTATTTCCTTCTTAGGTAGGCAACTGAAACCAAAGGGGTCAGCTGTGACTTTTTAAAATCCCCCTAAAAATATAAAGTTTGGAGAAACACCTTACAACCAATACATAATAAAATCATCATGATTTTTACTGCCTGACTTACCCAATCAGCTCTCCAACCAGGCCTTGAAACCATCTTCTACCCCTCCACCACGGATTCCCCCTCCCACTCTGTTCTTCTCGCCACGCCCCCAACTCTGCTCAAGGTGGAAGTCCTCTCAAACTGGACTCGAGGAGAAGCCCAGCACCTGTCTGCCCGGCCTGGCCCACCCTCCTGGCTCCCTAACCAGCCTGCAGTCCCCACCCGGCACCACGAGGCGGCGCTCCCAACAAACGTAAACCAAACCGGGTATTCCACACAGCACCACACTCATCTCTAAACTCCCTTACAAAGATGTGAAAGGGCAAAAAGAACACGTTTTTTGTCATTTTGTTAAAGAATCAACTTGCAAAGACAAAGACTGATTCTATGCCCTTACTCCCCCCAGCAAACATCAGAAGTGCCAGGGTTGAAAGCATTAACCACCCCGGCAGCCAATCTCTGCCCTCCCCCAAGGGACAGGGACCAGCGAAGATGACAGACATGGTCCCATTACCAGCCCCCCTATAAAACTGAATTCAAAAAAACTCCCGCCCATGCTGGTGTAGCTCGGTGGATTGAGCGCGGGCCTGCAAACCAAAGGATCACGGTTCGATTCCCAGTCAGGGCACATGCCTGGGTTGCAGGCCAGTTCCCAGCAGGGGACGAGAGAGAGGCAACCATACATTGATATTTCTCTCCTTCTCTCCTTTCCCTCCCCTCTAAAGGTGAAAAGAACCCACCAGCCTTCACTCTCTAAAACTGTGGAAGGTGCACAGACCAGACCAGCCACCCCTGGCTGCTGAGAATGCGGGCTGAGCACTGTGACTGATGGTGCTGCACAGGGCAGCCGGGCTCACAAGAGAAAACAACACTGCCCGGTCCGTCCCTCGGTCCCAGCACTTGAAAAGGACGAGTCTGCTCGGGCAGGAACACCGCTGCCGCGCAGCTGCGGACGTCAGGCTGGAATTCCCTGGCCCTCCCCTCGGAGTTCAGGGTTACTCAACCTGCCCCACCCTGGCCTGCAGCCAGACACCTTCCAAGTCCACCCCTTTTAAACCCAAAAGGACACCGATGGGAAACCCTAACACTGTGAAAAGAGCCCCGAACACCCCTCCTCTCTTCTCTCATCTGCAGCGGGCGCCCCTCCTGCACCCCGGCTCCCCCCACTTCCCATCAGTCCCCACACCTCCACAAAGTCAGGTTCCGCAGCATCTCAAAATCTCCCCAAATCTCCCCGCGCTTCAGAGGGCTGACACAGCGCTCTCACCTTCCCCTCGGAGCCTGCCCAGCCCCACCCCACGGGAGCAGGAGTCTTGTCTTGGAAACAAGGAAACTTGGATTAAACCTCACAAGAACCACGGGACGAGGTGTGCTGGGGGACACGGGGAGGGAGAAAGGTACAAAACTCTTTAAAACCTTTCTGATTTCATCACTGCTATTTTTAAATGAGATTAAACGTTAAGCTCAATCAGCAAATTCAAATGGTAAGAGCCGATACTCCCCCACCTTGGATCATTTAACTTTTCTACCAAATCAGCTACCTTAAAAGATTCTAGCCACCAAATCCGACTCCGAATCCCCAGCTGAAATGTGAGTGTGGGACCTGGCAGGGGCGGCCAGTGCCTCCCGCGCCCAGGGGCCCCGGGCCCTGCCCGCCGCGGCGTCGCAGGCGGGTCGGACCAGCAGGCCCACCGGCTCCGAGAGCTTTTTCCGAGACGACCAGACGTGGGCCGTCTGCACCTCTGGCGTGGTTTCCGTACTCGGGCAAAACTGATGTAAACCTCAGCCACAGACGCACCTGCGGGCCCCGAAGGGAAACAACGCGGCCTGGGGCTTTTAGGGGGAAGTCCGGCGTTTTCCTCACGGAGAAACTTTTAAGAGCCGATGGAGGATTCTGGTAGCGTCCACTGGCACCGCCGCCCGGGCCCCGCAGGGCGCGCTGCGGGGAGCACCCACCTCGTCCCTGGTCTAGGGGCGTCCACGGGACGCGGAAAAGAAAAAAAACCGGCCTCTCACGCTGCAGGCCCCGGGACGCTCCTGTGGGGACGCGCCGCAGGGACCGGGACGGGGCCCGGACCAGCGGCCCACCGCCCGCACGAGCCCCACCCCAACCGCCGGCGCGGGCCGGACCTCTGGGGGCGGGCGGGAGGGCGACCCACTACACTCCGAAACGCGCTCCGGCCCTCCGGCCGGCCCCGCACCGGCGCCGGCGCCGGCCCCACAGCCCGGGCCCGCCGGCCCCTCGTCCGCCCCCAACACGGGGGCGCCAGCGCAGCCCTCACCCAAGACGCGGAAGAGGCGGCGGGAAGGTGCGACGAGCGGCTGTCCGGTCTCCTCCTCCTATCCTGCGCGACGGCGCTGAGGACGACAGCGGCTCCTCGCGCTTTCCTTTCTCCTTTCTGCAACAACAAACAGGAAGTGCGTCAGGCGTCGGCGGCGTGGTGGATCCACTTCCGCCCGGCCTGACGCCGCGCAAGCGCCCGGACCGCCGCTGCCTTCCCGAAGTTTCTCGGGAGCTGGACGGCTCAGCGTCGGCAGAGCTGAGCTTCCGGCCGAGTCCCCGCCCCTGAGACTGCGGGGAAGCCAAGGCCTGGGCTCGCTGCTGAGGGCCCGATGGTCTCGGTGTCCCGCACGGACCCCGCGCCTCCCGAGTCAGCATGGGTCCCACAGTGGAGACCCGCGCGAGGCGTGCGCGGGGAGGCGGGAAAAGAATGATCCCTGGCCCGGGGGTCACCCTGGAAGCCGTAACCCCTGACCCTATGGAAGTGGGGTGGCGCTAGAAACTGTCGCCCTGACCTTGGGGTATTGGGGACGGACTGCAAGCCGTCACCGGGCCGCAGGAAGTCAGTGCGGTGCACCCTGCGCACAGGGGGGACGCGTCCCTGCTGCGAACCTCCCACGTGACATCCAGCGCCACGCGCGGCCTAATCCCGTCCCCGCAGATGCAAAGGGCTGCTGTGCCTTTCCCACTGCACACTGCGCGGTCGCAGCGGCTCGCAGTGCGCCGACTCGCCGCCACCTGCTCAGCTGACAGCACCTGATCCTCATTCCTCCGAGCCCTGGACATTACACGCTCCAGAGCACAAAGGCTTATTAGCTTCCTTCCCGCGGCAGGGACGCACTGGGAGCCATGGGGCTGCCTAACCTACTTCAAAACAAAAGGTTGCTTAGTGCGTTGTACACCTGATAGGCTGTGTCCATGAACTGGGAAATGAACTATAAAAAAAGATTGCTTTATACTTTTAAGGGCTTTTTTACTATATATTCTTATTATGCTACTACAGTTGCCCCATTTTTTCCTCTTTATTGTCCTCCACCCCTAAAAATGATTGCTTTATACTGTATGTATTCATTTCTCATGTTTCCTGAACCTTCTGCAGGACTTCTATCGTTTTTAGCAGATCAACAGTTAGGTAAAGAATTTTAATTCTTTTATCTGAATAAATTCTCTGGGTTTTTTTTTTTTTTTTTTAAGAGGCTTTGATAACTGCCTGGTGGAAAGGAAGGAATAACAGTATCTGATCTGGGTGTGTACATCTCATGATAAAACTGAAGATCATCTCAGCAGAGACTGGAATTGCATTCAGATACACTGACAGTTTGGCCCTGTCCCCTGTAACCATATCTGCCTGCAGGTTGACAGTTTCATTTCCCTTCCAGTGTTGACAGTACTATCAGGTGACATTATGCATTTTCAATAAGTTCCTGCAGCAAGTGTGAGCTAATCTTGAAATGCAGACAGCCAGGATACATGAATTTTAAATAGTAAGTGGTAGGCTAGCCACAAATAACTTCGTCCTCCCTCCAAAAAGTGAAACATTTATTAAAACATCTGGCAGTGCAATAAACCATATCGCAGGAAAAAGCCAACTAGTACTCACAAGGCCCAGCCCCAATGAACGCACGCGGTATTGTGGGAGAGTAGAGGGGCAAATATCCTGAAAAAACGACATGAAACTATTTAAGGAACTTCTTGCAAAACCACAGACAAGCTCTTTCGAGATAAGACTGGGGATTTATTCCAAAATTAGCATCAGCCCAAATGGTGCTCCTGGAAAGCCTACTTCAGAGGACAATCACTTCACATGGAACCACCAGGATTTAGTAATTTTTTTTAAAAAATTTTCTGTATTTGCCCTGGCTGGTGTGGCTCAGTGGTTTGAGTGCCAGACTGCCAACTGAGACTTTGCCGGTTCGATTCCCTGTCAGTGCACATGCCTGGGTTCTGGGTCAGGTCCTCAGTTGGAGACAAGTGAGAGGCAACCAATTGATGTTTCTCTCCCTCCCTTCGCTTCTTTCTAAAAATAAATAAAAATAAAATATATTTTTAAAATAAAGATTTTTATTTATTTTTCAAAACGAGGGGTAGGGAAGGAGAAACGGAGAGAAATGTGTGAGAGATACGTGGTTGCCTCTCACACACCTGCAACCCAGGCATCTGCCCAGACTGGGAATCAAACCCGCACCCTTTCGTTTTCCAGGCCAGCACGAAAGCCACTGAGCTACACCAGCCAGGGCTGGAGCTACAATGGTTGAAATTGCAATGATTGTCAAAGTCCATCTAGGGAAGGTGAGTGTGTCTGTTCGAAAGGACAGAAATTTCGAACTGTGATTAGACAGACAAGTGGCTGTGCCTGTGTGGAGGATGAGGCCGGGCCAAGGACTTTCCCCAGTTACCTGGTCGTTGGGGAAGCCAGGCACCCACCCTGGGGAGAGTTCTGGGACAGGCAGTGGAAGAGCACAGAGTAGGGAGACTGTCCTTCCCCAGACAGAAGGTTAACTGGGTGTGCTTCCCTCGGTGCCTGGCACCAACTCAGGGTATAAGAGGAGGGGAGCAAAGTGCGCAGGTGACAGTAGAGAACCAGCAGGGCAGGCAGGAGCACACACCCTGCCACGCCCGTCCACGAGGCCAAGAAGCTAAGGTGAAGGTCCTTTCTGGACGGCCATCCGGCAAGTTTTATTATCAAACTGTGAAATTCACTTTTGATCCAAGGATGACGTTTCTAGAAATTTGCCCCAAGACAATAAACATGGGAAAGAAAACCCCAGGCCTGAAATGGCCTCCCTTGTGCTAACGCCTGTTACCAAACCTAGACATAATACCTGATCTGAGTAGGTGCTGCTTCAGCCTTTCCGGGAAACAGGCTCTTCCTCAGGCAGTCTGGAACCTTCTGGCTAACGCCGAGGAAGTAACCCTTCATGAGGACCAGCTGCCTGATAGAACTGTCTTCCCTTCACCCCGAAAGATGATGCCCTGGTCTAAACATAACCCTTTCTTTTCTTTTCCTTCCTTGCTGCACTCTTCAACAGATTAAATCTTGATAAAAATTTTCCATTTTGGGTGGTCCCTTGGAACACCCTTCAACTTGTGGATGGGATTCTGTCCAATTCGTGAATTACTTAAAATGAAGCCTATCAGATGTTTTTCAAATGTACTCTGTGGAGTTTTGTTTTTTAACAGCAGGAATGAAGAAAGAAAGGAAAAGATAAGAGGTTCTGGATCACCATTCTGGCTGATAACTAGTTCCTCCTCACCAGGAAAGATCACCTGGGTCAGGAATGTAACAATGTAGTTCGTTTTCCTCTTTTTTGATTGACATCAAATACACCCAGGATACATTATGGAGACAGTGGTTATAATGCGACCCCATTTTTGTATAAGTGTATTTATTTATGTATGTGTGTGTATAAGTGTGTGGAAAACACACACACACACACACACCGTATGGAGAAAATAAATGTGCCCGTCACCCTCCTGATAAAGGAGAACGAGCACCAGTTTATTAGCGTGAATACCTTGTGCACGGGAAGCGCCCATGGAAATGCAGTAAACTCCCAGCAGAGACGAAAGAAACACCCTGGCTGGGGGGAGCTCCCTTACCAGAAAAAGCAAAGCACAAGTGGACCAAAAAGGGGCCAGGCACCACACCTGACCAGCTCAGGGCAGGCGGCCTGACACACTCAGACACAGACAGCAGCCCCATGGGACGGTCTGAAATGGAAACTTCCCAGCTAAGAGCAGCTTAGCCAGGTCACCCAGGCTTAGGCCCGCACCTTCCCTGGTGAAGGTCAGCCTTTACCCCAACCGAGCCTGACGATTGTCCTTTTTGCACCTGTGACAACTCACCTTTGGAATGTCAGGGTAAGGGTAACTTCCTTTTTTCCCCAGGGCCCCTCAGGGCACCGACTCCCCCCACCCACCTACCCACCCACCCAGCAGAGACTGCAAACGTCCTCGTTGTTATTGTGATCATGTTACTGTGTTAACCGTTGACTCTTAACTCTCCCATATTGGCCTGGAAAAGAACTGTGTCTATACGTTTTGTTTTTTATCCGATCCCTTACGCTGCGCCTCCTCCATTCAAGGTCACGTGTAAGACAAAAACTGAAAGGCCGTTCTCTGGAGCATTTTCTCAATCCGTGGAGATGATTTTGCTTCTTGCCCGTCGTCGTCACTTTGGGTCAAATAAACTCATAAAAATTCCTGAAGGTTTGGACGTTTTTAACATAAAATAAAGCAGGGGGCGGCCTTCGCCCCTGATGAGAGATTCCTGAGATTCAGGAATCCTCCCCCTCTCCGGCACAGAGGGGGACCGCTTACCACGGACATTTCCCTTAGGGATGTAAATGACGGGGGGCAGGGGGGGGGCTTCCACTACCAGAGCGACTGCAGTTTCTCCAATGTAATACGAACAAAACAGTCCTCGAGTCCAAGAAGTTGCCTCCTCCTCAGGGACACCTGGGGGCCCATTCAGTAGCTTGTTGAAGTGCCTCCTGGAGTTAGATCTCTGATGCTTCTTATTTTCTTCTCTCTGATTTTATGTATTGTTTGAACTTCTGCATTACATATAAAATACATTCGTGTTATGTACACATTCTTTTCAAAACCAGTGAAGTCATTTTTATAAAGTGGAAACCATGAATGGCACACAGCCCCTTCAGAACTTTGTAGCGGTGTGATGTGAGGGGTCAGAGGTCGAAGCATGACAGGCATATATCCATTTATCTACTTATTGAACACGTATTGAGCCCTGACTGGTGTGGCTCAGTGGCTGAGTGCTGGTCTGTGAATCAAAGGGTCACGGGTTCAATTCCCAGTCTTAGGGCACATGCCTGGGTTGCTGGCCAGGTCCCCAGTGGGGGCGCAGGAGAGGCAACCAGACGCTGATGTTTCTCTCCCTTCCTCCCCCTCTCTAAAAAATAAGTAAGTAAAATCTTTTTTTTTAAAGTATTGTACACGTGTCCTGCACCAGCACCCTGCAGGGGTCCCGATGGGACTCCTTCCATCAGAGGGACCTCAGGCTGGAGGGAGGAAGACTGAGGTTCCAGTACTGGAAGGAGCTCCAGTGAAGAAAAGCTTCCCGCA